ACCGGCGCCGCGGCATGAGCTGCCGGCCGGGCACTGGCTGCCACTGGCCGGCACTTTGATTTATCGGCAAAATAAGGTGTGGTGCTGCCGTGCCGTGCCGGGCCGTGCCGGGCTGCCTCGCGCTGCCGGCCGGTGCTGCGTGCGCCTCTTTGGCCACCGAATAAATTACATTTTATTGCGGACCATACCGGGGCGGCCGGGACGGGGATGCCGACGGGGATGCGGGGCCCCATGCGCGGCCAGCCAGGCCAGCCAGGCCGCGACGGCCAAGTCCGCAAGAAGTGCTCTTCTTGTCCGTCCGGGGCGGGACCAGGCGGGAAGGGGGAGGGGGTGGCTACACTGTCCAGGGAAAAAGTTGCCGCGGGCGAACAGGATCACACAGCGTGGTGGCACCGTGGTGCGGAGGAGCGGCAGCCGCGCAAACCAAAGCATGTCGCGAGCGATTTGCAGGAAGCGGAACAGAAAAACATCACTTGCCCGCGCAAAACGTGGCGTTGCCTTCACTCGATGATCTATGGGGGTGCTCGTCGCGGGGCGCGCTGGAACGCCGGGAATTGAACCCGAGCCAGGCGAGGGCGGGGCGGGGCGGGGCGGGGCGGGGCGGGGCGGGGCGGGGGGCCGGGGCCCCGAGGGAAGAGACGGCCTCCTCAGGTTGTCCCCGGGCGGGCCGGGCCTGAGGCGGGGCCTGAGGCGGGGCCGGCAACACCGTCGCGACCTACTTTAGTGACGGTTTTAAGGGCGGCTGGCCCGGGAAATGGGTAAAATGGGTACGCGCCTCCAGTGTCAGGGCGGGGAACCAAGTCAAACTTTGGAGCATAAAACGGTCGTGTTCGCGCTACTTTGTACCGACATAACTTTTACGCGTGGCGAAATAGTACCTGCGAAGCGCGCGAGACAAGACGCCTTCGCGTCACAAAAAAAAGTCTCCAAATTTGGAACCCATTTTGGCATGGAATCCCGAAACCAGGGATGGGAACGCAAGGGGATGGCAAGCTGGAGAGAGCGCCACTCCCCAGTGACGAGGAAATTTGCCACTGGCTTTGCAGTGACATCAAGTTTTCACGACTTGTCCCGAAGTGCTTTCCCTTTGCGGACGGTGCGGGATTGACGTGGTGCTTACTGCCCCTCCTGCCCTCGGCCAGCCGGGCCTGGGCCGGGCCTGGGCCGGGCCCCGCGAGTTTGCCGTGTGTAATAAGGAAGGGGCCGCGTGGTGTTTATTCAGTGTAGGCCCCGCACTGCCTCGCTCCGCCTCGCACACTGGCCGGCACGGCTTGCGCAGGCTTGCGCAGGCTTGCGCCCCGCAGCAAGGACTCTGGGGCAGGGTGCGGGGCCGGCCGGCCTCTGTGCTGCACCTGGCTCACCCCGGCACGGCCGGCCACGCCACGCCACCGACACGGTCACTTTGGCGGACGGACACGTCGAGCGACGAGCGCCGCGCGTCACTCGCAAGATGATGAACATTGTGCTGGTGGTTGGTACTTGCCCTTCATCCCTTGCCTGGGACTGGACGGACACACTCCAATTCTTACAATTTATTTCAATTCTTACAAACAAACGATTAGTTTGCAAGTATTTTGAGCATACATAAGATTGCAAAGAAAACTCTTCGTACTTTGCGAACTAATTCTAATTAGTTTTTTCCTCACATATGCTCAAAATACTTTGTCTGGCTTTAAGCGTGTGCCAACCGAAATCCAGAGGCGTTCGAACACACTCGCACCCCTTAACAAACCCCTTTGGGAAGGCAGGCGTTGCCGGCGTTGCCGCCTTAATTAAAATGAATGAAAGTTTCGGCGACCGGTGGCCGCAGTGGCATAGCAGTGGCGTGGCAGTGGCGGCAGTGGCGTGGCGGCCACACTGCCCTTGGCAGCGCTCCAGCCGGCTCCAGCCCGGCTCCCCAGTGCTCCAGCGCCGCTCCAGCACCGCTCCAGCACCGCTCCAGCCACTATAGGCGTTGACCAGCGCGGCCGGAAGGCGAGCCCTTGTACTTTGTGCCCTTGTACGTGAAAAGGCCGCCTCGACAAAGCCGTGGACCCGGCGCTGGGTCGGCCCAGGGCCCACCCGGAACAGGCCCACCAGGCCCACCAAAGGCCCGCCCGACAGCCACCAAGGGCCTACCAACACAGACACCAACCCCATACCAGCGCAAACCGCGACAAGTCCCACCAGGTACTCGAACCCCGACAACCCTCTCATGCTACACCGCGGCCCTCAGCCCCACCGCTCGCACTATCAGTCCCACCAGGGTGGGCTCGGCCTCGTTTGGCGCTCTCGCCCCACCGCCATGCGCCAACACGCACTCTCCCTCCCTCCTCACCGTGCTCCTCGCCCACGACCCCACACGGCCCAGAGCTGCCCTGTTAACAGGGCTTAAGAAGCAACGCAGCGAGAGGGCCACATCTCGATTGGCTTCGGCCGACCTCGGATTATGTCCCCACCCCACCTCTGTACACGGATACTGGCGCCACCGATACTTCAGGCAGTGGAGGAACTGGGTACTTTCCCATTCACACCGGCTCTTTCATTCAATCGATTATGAATCAATCTGCTACAACTTTTTTGTAATGCTACCCAGCGCCCTTCGTGTGGGCGGCAGGGAGTGTGGCAGGAGCCAACGGTGTCCACCCTTCCACCCACGCCGCACCGCAGCCCGAGGCTCCCCCCCCCCCTTTCCCCTTTCGGGCCCCGAAGCTGCGATATGAATTTATCGCGGCGCTGGTAAAAGGTAGCGCCGCCAGCCTCGGCTGCCTCGCCGAATCCCGGCCAGTTTTGCATCGGGGGATTTATAAAAATAAAGCTGGGGATATGTGAGATTCGCACCCCGGCATGGGGATCCGAACGCTACGCTGAGGGCAGAAACCCACGAGAGAGAGAGAGAGAGAGAGAGAGAGAGAGAGAGAGAGAGAGAGAGAGAGAGAGAGAGAGAGAGCGCCTGGAGGCTTTGCCCGGCTTTACTTGGGAGTCCGTGTGAAAGCAACTGCACTGGCTGTTGTACTATTGGTGCATTAACTGGCGTAACTCCAGGGTGCGAAGTCGGAGGCAGACCTCACGAGCCAGTGGAGGTTCGAGGCGGGGAAAGAATGGAGAGGGAGTGAGACGGGGAGGAAGTGAGTGAGTTGGTAAGCTGGCCCCGGCCGGCCCGGCCCCTCCAACGCGGCGCGGCGTACCGCAACCAAACTCAGGCCAACTGAACTCAGCGCTGCCAATCTACTAAAACTTTGTTGGCCGCGCTCTTGTTGTTATTGTGGAGCGTTTCGGGGGAATCAAAGCTTGAAATATTTGTACTCTTGGCGATTGTGTCGGGGCGTTGTGTCATGGCGCGGCGCGGCGCGGACGCCTGTTGCCGGGCCGCCCGACACTCTGCCGAGCGATTCATGTCGCTCTGTCTCCGTCGCCCTCACGGGTCTCTCCATAAGGGTGAGAAGGAGACAGCGACAAGGAGTGTGTCTCGGCTGCAGGCGGACTGTACGGCCCGACGGAGTCCTTCGAGGCCCTGTCGCTGCCGGCGAGCGCCACCGAGCGCCACCGCGCCGCCGACCCGGTTGCTCGACGGCGCGGAAAGCTCACAAAGTTTCCGTCAAGTCATGTGCGCTTTCCGTTCCAAAGTACGGTTTTTTTTACAGTGCAATTCCTTTTTTTTTACCGCACGACCGAGAAATTTCAATTGGGGAGCGAAAAGGGCTCGCGCTCCGCTTGCCACTGCTCCTGCCTCGGCTCCTGCACTGCCTCCGCCTGTGCTGCCCGGACTGCCTCTCGGGCGAGGGCCGCTCCACGCCCGGCTCCGGGTCCAAGGGATGCGTATTCACATCGGGACGGCCAATAGCGCCCCTTCCCCCACCCCCCGCGGCGACTTTGGCACATCTCCAGCAGACCCTTACTCTCCCTTTTGCTGTCATGGCAACCAATCAAATATTTCCCAATAAATGGGAAAGAGGGGGAGAGGCGGCGACGACGCTCGCTCCACCTAATTGATTCATCCACCGACACCCCGCCCCGCCCCCTTCCCACAACAAGGTGCGGCTCGGGAAGGATAGGTTAGCTCGCGGCCCGCGGACTTCTCGAGCTTCCCCGCGGGCGACAGGGACGTTTGTGTTTGGCGATGGATGCCGTACAAAAAGAGAGGAAAACGGAAAGTGATTGGTTACGGTGGAAACCTGGGGGAATTTCCAGCCAAGGCTGGCCCGTTTATCTCGTTTCAAACCGGCGGACTACGACGCGCCCTCCCGAGCTGCGAGCCGCTCTTCTTCACTCAGCGAAATGGCTCAAATATTGGTGCTGGCTCCATCAACAAGTATCGGCCTAACAGGATGTGAAAGTTTTTCCGGGACAATTACGAAACTCCGCTCGGTAAAAATATGAAAAGAGCAGCGCGCGGCTGTAATTCAGAAAGTTGGGGGGACGTCGTGGACGGGAACAAATGGCTTGGCGGCTTGGCGGCCGGCGACCGTCCCAGGTGTGAAGGGAAGGACCAGCTTGTCGCCCTGCCGGAATAATTGGATCCTCGTCCTCCTGACTGACGGGCCGGCCTGCAGGCCGTCCCCTGAGTGCGAGGCGGTGCGACGCGCGGGCAGACACTGCAACGAGAGCTCCGTTCGCTATCGGCCCGCCTCGGCCCGCCCACGGCGATACCCTTTCCGAGCGGGGAGTACGGCCGCGCGGCCCCAGTGTCTCTGCAGCGCGGGGTACTGCCGGCCGGCGGCTTCCGCCCGACTGACTGGCAGGCCACCACTCGTCTTGCGCGCACCGCTGCTGTGCGGGCTGGCCTACCCGAGGCTGGCAGGCGCCCGGCGGCCCCTGAGCCTCGCCCAGCAGCCTCGCCCGAGAGTCGGTTTCTGTCCCCCTCGCTCTCATGCTGTGTCGCGGGTAGGTGCGAGAGAGGCAGGGCGACGAACACGACTCTCGGAACGCGGCCCACCAGAAAGACACGCACTCCGTCAACTCCGTCGACGCGCGTCAGCAGCGCAGCAGCCTCGCTTGCGGCGCAAAGCAGCAAAGCACCCGTTCCTGGGAAAGCAAATAAGGCCCCCACTTTTTGTGCCTCTGAGACTTTGCCTTAGCCAGCGGCTTGCCATTCGTGTTGCAGTGCGCCGGATAGACAGGTCGGCTGCCACAGGTAGGAGGGGCAAGTCGAGTTACAGGATTCGTCGCAGAATTTTGGAGGAGGCACGGCACAAATTCAAAAGAAAACTAAACTAAAAAGTCTAACTAAGAAGGTGTTCTGGACCTCTTGATCTAAATACGGCGTTAGCAAACCTACACTCGAAATCGGCCTCGAATCATACCAAACAGGGTATCATTATAACTTCAAATTTGTGTGCATTTAAATATAAACACATTTCCAAATTGTAGAATTTCAGTAATTTCGGAAGCGCGAAGTGTGATGTCAAATTGTGAGCCCTTTTTGGCGGGTGGCCGTCGGGGGGTCCCCAGCCCGACGCAGGACTTAATTGCATTCCTAGATTGTATCACAGGGAACTTCATCCCGTCCCGTGTTAACACAATTCCCACATCGGCGCCACCAGCAGCCGGTAGCTATCTCGCAGACAATTCTTATCGCTCACGGCAGTAGCGACCATTTTATGTTTATTTTCAGTCGGCTTTTATTGAGTCGGGTCCCGGTTCCGAGTCTCTTTAGATAAGCCAGGTGCGATCCAGAGGGGGCAGCGTCGGCGAAAGTAATCGGTCAACTCCCCTTCCCCTTTCCGCTGTCCAGCCGACCGGTCACCTCCTCAATTGACTCGTTATCGCTTGTCCCGCGGCACCGCGACACCGCGACACCGTCTCCGTGTTGAGGTGGTTCAGGTGGTGCACCAGACTGATCGCTCCTCGCCGTCATGCCGCAGCTGCCCGTCGCGCTCCCCGCCATGGAGGCCGCCTTGACGCTGGGCTGGCTGGACCAGGCCGTGTTCGTGCTCATGCTGGCCGCCTCCACGCTCATCGGCGTCTACTTCGCGTACTGCGCGCCCGGCGGCAACCTGTCCGCGGCCGAGTACCTGGTCGGCGGCCGCACCATGGGCACCATCCCCATCGCCCTGTCCCTCATCGCCAGGTGAGCACAGTGGGGCACAGTGGGCCAGAAGACCGGTTCCGATGGCCAAAACTCTAGACGCGCTCGAACCAAACATGTAACCCCACCAATGGATTCCTCGTTCGGAGAGCAATCCTTTGGTGGGGTCACACGCTCGGTTCGAGTCCCATTTAGCGACTCTAGAGCTCAAAACGCGCCCAAGCTTTTTACCGCCTCCAGCGGTCTTCTGGCCCACTGTGTGACCATGTGTGACGCGTGCTCCGTCAGCTACATCTCGGGCATCACGCTGCTGGGCTACCCGTCCGAGGTGTACACGTACGGCATGCAGGTGCTGTACAAGATGCTGGCCCTGCCCTTCATGGGGCTGCTGTTCGGACACCAGCTGCTGCCCGTCTTCCGCGACCTCGACGGCATCTCGCTGTACGGGGTGAGTGGGCAGGCGCCTCGCCGTGAATGAAGGCACAGCGTGCGTGCACCTTTGTGTGCGATTGCGTAAACTAGAATGTATGTCTGGAATGACGCAACTGAGATAAAACGCTGCGGTTGCGTCGCTGTCCGTCTCTTTCCCGCCCCGCGCCTTCTTTGTTTGACACGCATTTTGCGATAACACCCCGCGGAAATCGTCCATCAGTCCCTCTTCTTACCCGCCTGATTTTCCCGCAGTATTTTGCTCGTCGTTTCAACAACAATGTTCGCCTGCTGGCGTCGTTCCTGTACGTTTTTGGAACCGTAAGTACACAGGCGTGATTACGGTTCGACTGAAACAAATAATCGAGCCGGTTCACTGAGATAAACGATTTTCCGGCAGATGGTGTGGCTGCCCATCGTCATCTTCGTGCCCGCGCTCGCCTACCAGCAGGGTGAGTCTTTCTCCTACCAGCCAAACGTCTCTTGGGAAACGTCGCGTACATTTTTCGCTCGCCGCAATACTGCTGACAAATAATATCTGGATTATGGGGTGCGACTGTAGTGGCCCACATCAACGTTCACTGGATAACGCCTTTGGTGTGCGTCGTCTGCATTTACTACACAACGGTGGTAAGTAAACAGTGCTGAAAAAAGGAGTTTTTCCTCCCCATTTGTTCAACTTCCCACGACGATTTGGCGCCTCTCTGCAGGGCGGCATCAAGGCGGTGGTGTGGACGGACGCGCTGCAGGCCGTGTCCATGTACCTGTGCGTGCTGCTCGTGATGGTGATGGGCGTCATCCAGGTGGGGGGCCTCGGCAACGTGTGGGACCGCGGCGTGGCCTCCGGACGCATCGAGCCCCCGGTGTGAGTCAAGCTAAACCACTATAAATGTGTTCGCACAAAGTTTTGCTCGAGTCTGAGAGCGTCCTCTCTGCCGCCAGCATGGTGGTGGACCTCACCACGCGCCACACGCTCTTCACCATGGTGCTGGGCGCCTTCATCGGCCACTGCGCGCACGCCGGCCTCGGGCAGGCCATGGTGCAGCGCTACCTGTCGCTGCCCAGCAACAAGCAGGCCATCACGGCCATGTGGATCTTCATCGCGGGCATCTGCATCTTCTTCACCACGTCGGGCCTCGCCGGCCTCATCATCTACGCCCTGCACCACGACTGCGACCCCGTGCACGCCAAGGTGCGGCACGAGTCCTTACGCGGCGAGGTCCTTAACACAGAAGTCACCTCACGGGTCCAAAGAGCACGCTGCCTCGGACGGAGATGGAGATTAGACAGAGATAGGGAGTGAAAGGAAAGAGGAGGAAAGGGAGATGACAAAACGAAAAGGAGTTCAGTAGTTACACTCTTCCAGCTCGACTTCTGGAATGAAGGGCGTGAGGTGCTTGATTGTAGAATTCAGTTGGGCGGTGATAGCCCTACACTTGTCGCATGAGTGGTTCGCCCTCGATCTCGGCTCAGAACTGAAGAGGGCATTACTCACGTAAGCCTCTGCCTGTCGGAATCATTGCCCCCGGAGCTGGCGGACAATGGGTCCAATTTTACAGTGCTTTGAAACAGGACCTCCTGTCGCGCTCACCAAAAAAACACAGTATCAACAGTTCCTTGTCCCTGCTCGCAGCTGGTGAGTCGCCAGGACCAGATCCTGCCGCTGTTCGTGATGGAGACCCTGGGCGGCGTGCCGGGCGTGCCGGGCCTCTTCATCTCGGGGGTGTTCAGCGCCGCGCTCAGCTCCATGTCCACCGCGCTCAACTCCATGTCGGCCGTGGTGCTGGAGGACTGGGTGCGCGGCTACGGCGGCTACGAGCCCAACGAGCGCAGCGCGGCCTGGATCATGCGCGGCGTCGTCGTCGTGTTCGGCGTCATCACCGTCGCCCTCGTCTTCGTCGTCGAGAACCTCGGCATGATCCTGCAGGTGAGGCCCGCACACGCTCAATGAGTGCGAGAGAGACAGAGAGTGATGCGTGTTCTGCCGCCAGATGGCGTCCAGCATGGCCGCCGTGTCCACGGGCCCGCTCTTCACCTTGTTCGTGGTGGGGCTGTTCCTGCCCTGGTGCGACACCCGCAGCGCCCTGGCCGGCGCCCTCAGCTCCACGCTGTTCACGGCCACGCTCGTGTTCGGCGCGCAGTGGGAGATCGGCAACGGCCGCCTGCGCTTCCCCACCAAGCCCATCTCCGTGGACGGCTGCCTGGCGGCGCTCAACGTGACGGCCATCCCCGTGGTCGAGGAGGACATCGACATGTGCGTGGCGGCTAGGTGACACTTCGCCGTAGTCCGCTTGACCGTTTCTGACTGTTCCTGGCGCTCCTCCGCAGCTCGGCCGTGTACCCGCTGTTCCGCGTGTCGTACCTGTGGTACGTGCCGCTGTCGCTGCTGGTGGGGCTGGTGGTGGCGCTGCTGGCCGCCGCGGCCGGCTGGCGGACGGACCTCGCCGACCTGGAGCCGTGCCTGCTGGCCCCCATCGCGCGCCGCCTGCTGCCCGACAAGGCCGCGGCCAAGGCCAAGGCCGCCAAGTGCGCCGACGACGCGGCGGCGGCGGCCATCGAGCAGCAGGTCATGCTGCTGGCAGACCTCAGGGTGAGCTCCACGGCCTAGTGTGCCACCGCACTGAAAAGGGGGATAGTCGGCGCAAGGGCAAACCAGGGCACCGACTCTGTCCACGCCCTGCTCCGCGGTGTTCCGCGTGCCGCACTAAAATCCCAATCGGTGTGATCGCAATCGGGCGTCCACACTGCGGCTCGCCGATGACGCGTCGCGCGCCGCCCGGCGGACGTGCGCAAGTGCGGCAAGTCCGCCGAGCGCTTTGCCCGGCCAGCGGGACCAGCCCACTGCCAAAGCCGCACCTGCTTCAGAAGTCCGCGCTTTCCAAGTGTGCGCCGAGTTCGATTGTCTTTTTGACTTTTCGACTTTCAATCGGCCGTATCTCGTTTCATTGAGGGCTGCCCAAAAACAATTCAGTCACAATGTGCGTCATAATGCCTCTTTGCGGCGGTATCTGCGGACTCTTCAGAGATGTTTTTTTGTGTTGTATTTTTTCTGTTTGACATGTACCAGGTGTTTCAGAAACCCCGTAGAAGTTTGAAGGTATGCAACCCACTCGCCGTCGTGCGGGCGGGCTTGCCTACGCGCTGGTCGGCGGGCGCCGGAGCGATCATGGGTTGCCACTCGTCCACTAGTGCAGCTGGGTGCCGTCCCCCTTCCCCTCGCTGCTCCGGTTGCGCTCGGCTGGCCCGGTCAACTGTCACAGGTGGCGCTAACGTCGTCTGTCGGCCGCCAATCAAACCATCTCGGATGATGTCGCTAGCCGGCGAACCACCGATAGGCGAATGTTTGCGAATTTAGCGACATCTTTCTAGATGGTTTGATTGACGCTAGCGCCACCTGTGACAGTTGACCGGGCAAGCCGTGCAAGCCGTGCAAGCCGGCAACCGGAGCGGTAAGGGGAAGGGGGACGGCACCCAGCTGCACTAGTGGACGAGTGGCAACCCATGATCGCTCCGGCGCCCGCCGACCAGCGCGTAGGCAAGCCCGCCCGCACGACGGCGAGCGGGTTGCATACCTTCAAATTTCTACGGGGTTTCTGAAACACCTGGTACACTCTTATTCTACGGTGTCCCGAGAGCAAGTGTCGTTGTCAGTTGGGTCCACTTTTAGAGCGCTTTCTGGTGGAACTCCAAACGCGCTTTCTACTGAAACGCCTTCGTCGCTCTCTGTCGAGACACCTGGCAGACGAAGATGGGAGGCACCTTTTGATCCAGGGGCTTATTGAGTCAATCCAATTCCATCATTCACTGCAAGGTGTCTCGGCAGAGAGTGACAAAACCGTTTAGGCAGCGCCTGTGGCGTTTTACCAGAAAGCGCCTTTTAAATTTGATCATTTATCGTTTCTAGGTTTCGCAAGACTTGGACAAGGATCCTGCAGAGCCGGAGAAGAAAGGGCGAAGCATCAAAGACTTTGCGTAACAGTGAAGCACGTGTCTATGTGTTGCGCGCGCTCACGTGGGTGTGTTTGTGTGTATTTGTGCGTGAATCCATGTATGTATTACGGGCTTTCGAGTTCGACAGTTTCAAAAGTGTAAATGATTTGTGTCTGTGTGTACGCGAGCATGTTTCATTCAAGTTGCAAATATATTGCAGCGATCTCATGACCATAAAAGACTGCAATATTACACGATTACTCGGCAGTACTTGGAATACTTGTGTTGGCAGGTCACTGCTTGTTCCTCTTATCACCCTTGTTCCTTCGACAAATGTCAGTCAATTAAAGACACCGAAAACATTTTCCGATTTGCGCTTCTTTCTATCCGTCCCTTGCCTCATGGACGTTGGACGTAAGGGCGTAAGTCATGGGAAACCCATTGAATAAATACGTTGTTCGGTCCCATGACCACCCACATGTCGGTGGCGGTGAATATGCCGACTCACTCCAAACTACACAAAGGACCGTTTAAAAAAATTCCGGAACGACTTGGCGGGGCTCATTGGGAGGGGAATCTCGGCCAATCATGTTCTTTTCGAGTGGCCACGATTAATGCAGTGCAGTTCCACCTCGCTATCGCTTGGTATCGGCGCGTGGCGTGCTGGCGCGCCATGGCGGCGTGCTGGCGTCAACCCGCGTCAACCCCGGGCAGCGCATTCCCGCACCGGCCGGCATGGAGGCGCCGTCCTGTTGGTAAGTCCCGCCGGTCCCGCCTCACGCCGCCGCCACCAGTCGGCCTCCGAGTTGCCATGCCAATCGGAATTGTGGCTAATTTTACATTGAAGAGTGTCATCAAACAAGTTAGTGACATTGCTGTCACATCCGCGCTTGGTATAGGGATTTCGATAAAAGTGTCGCCAATTTGCGATAGCATTGGCATCATTGTCATGCAATGGAAATGGCTTGTTCTCCTCACTCTTCCTACAAAGTCGGATTCGTATTTCTCGATGTTTGACTATTTTTTGCTTCGGGCAATGCGTTAATTAATCGAATGTGGTGCAGCCTCCTCCTGCTCGCCCTGAGCGGGGCCCTGGGCCCGGCCCTGGCGGCCCCCCGGACCCACATTGACACGGCGGACACGACGGACATGTGGGAGACGGGCTTCCGCCTCGACGGCCACCTGGTGCCCACGCACTACCAGATCACCCTCACGCCGGACGACGAGACCTTCCAGACGTACAACGGGGACCTCGTCATCGACATGGAGGTACGCGAAGAGGCGCGCAAGGAGGCGCGAGAGGAGGCACCCAAGGCGGTGCGAGAGGAGACTCCCATGGAGGTACGCAACATTCTGAATACCGCATGTTGAAGAAGGCTTTTGCTTTTTCTGAAAGAACATATCCCTCTTTTCCGTTTTGCGAGGGGTTTTGCAAACGAAAGCGCACGGCGTAGATGCTATCAGCCAATCACTTGTGAACGGGACTGGGTGTGCAAAGATAAATGCCGTAGGTAATCCCTCTAATCCCACCACCAGTCAATCTGATCTCTGTCGTACCGGTTTTTTTCTTTGCACGGTACGCACTTTTCGAAGGTTGTCTGTTGGCGAACTTGGAGTAGTGGGAGTGAATCAATTACCGTCCGTCTTATCTAGGTACTCAGATTTCCCCTCCTCGCCTTGACAGCTGTCAATCGGCTACTCATTTTTATTTACGTACGTGACGTCTTCTAGGGATTAGTGTGATGCTGAATGATTTTTTTGTTTGCAAATCATTTGTTTAAATAGTGTCCGTAAAACAGAAGGGTTGGTGCGCCTGTCCCTTACACCGTGCCGCGTGGCGGGACGTCCTTCCCCTTCTCGCAGGTGACGTGGGACGCGCGGACCATCATCCTGCACGCCGGCAAGGAACTGTTCGGCTTCACGCGCTTCCCCATCGTGGAGGAGGTCGACGTGGGCCCCCTGTCCGTGCGCAGCCACTCCCACAGCCCGAACGACGGGCAGTACACCATCCGCCTGGACGAGCCGTCGCTGCTGAAGGACCACAAGTACCGCATCTTCATCAAGTTCTCCGGCAAGCTGACCTCGGACAACCGAGGCTTCTTCCGCGTGCCCCTCAAGGATGGCGCGAACACGAAGTAAGAAGATCCAATGCCAAACTTTTCTAAAACATTTGTTGTTTGGACTTTGAAACACTTGTTTTCATTTGCAGGCTCTTGGCCATGACCCAGTTCGCCCCCGTGCACGCGCGCCGCGCCTTCCCCTGCTTCGACGAGCCGTCGTTCCAGGCCACCTTCTCGCTGTCCATCGTGCACCCGCCGCGCTTCGTGGCCCGCTCCACCACGCCGGTGTCCGTCACCGGGCCCTCCGGGTAAGCCGGCCACTCCGCCCTGCTCTGCCCTGCTCCGCCCTCATGCCCACTGCGGCGACAGCAGTCCCTCACCCACCACGCTCTCTTCCAGGATAGGCGACGGCTTCGTGATGACGACGTTCGAGACCACGCCGGTCATCTCGCCGCACTCCCTGTCCTGGGTCGTGACGGACTTGGACTGCATGGGCCACGAGCAGGACTGGGTGCACACCTTCCACCGCGACGGGTCCGCCGTGGAGGACCTCCACGCCGCCAGCAAGGCCCTGCTGAAGTTGCTGTACGAGTACACCGGGCAGGAGGGCCCCGCCGACGTCTACCAGGCCGTGGTGCCGCTGCTGGACAGAGCGGAGGGCAGCAGCCTGGGCATGGTCGCCTTCAGGTCGGTGGCGGTGGTCCCGGGGCAGCGGATGTCTCTCTTCCTCCTGCCACTGACCCTCACCGTCTTCGTGTGTCGCGCAGGGAGGAGGCCGTCCTGAAGCACAAGCAGTACAAGAGCCCCGTGCGGCTGGCCGGGATGCTGTCCGTGGCCAACGCGCTGGCGCAGCAGTGGTTCGGCAACGTGGTAACGCCGTCGTGGTGGGGGCACGCCTGGCTGGCGGTGGGCTTCAGCAAGCTGCTGGAGTACACCCTCGTGGACAAGGTGAGCACATTCTCCCCCACCGTCTCTGCTGGTTTGGCTGCCCGCACTGCAAGCCTTGGCCTTTGCCTGCCCGCAGACCCTCCCGGAGCTGCAGATGCCGGAGCGGTTCGGCGTGATGGAGATGATGCCGGCGCTGGCCGCGGACTCCAGGGCCAGCGCGATGCCCCTCACGTCGGACGCCATCAACAAGAACTCCGAAATCCTCGCCCAGATGGGAATCCTCTCGTCCGGCAAAGGCGCGTTCAAAGGAGTCTGTATTTTCACAGTGTTGTTTTTGGAGAGTTTACTGACGGCTCGCTGCGGTTTGGCCAACAGGTGCAGCCCTGCTGAGGATGCTGCGGAGTATGATTACGGAGGAGACTTTCCAAAAGGGGGTTCAGTATTACATATCAGACATGTAAGCTCGAGTGCCGTGTGGTAACCTGCTGTCTCGGCTGAAAGCATGTCTCACTCCGTTGCGTTGGCCTTTCCACAGGAAACACAAAACGGCCGCTCCGGAAGACCTGTGGACGGCGCTGCAGCGCGCGGCGGACGAGGACCAGACCGCCCCCGCCGTGTCCATCGCCAAGTTCGGCAAGTCGTGGACGGAGCAGGTCGGGTACCCCGTCCTCACCGCCGTCCGCGACTACGAGCGCAACACCGTCCTCGTGTACCAGGTGAGCGATGTGAAAGTCCCTCGCGGCAGGAGTAGCGCCGGTGGTGTTTTTGCTGTCTAACCGACCCGCTCCGCTCGGCAGGCCCCCTACCCGCTCCCAGGCGCCACCGGCGACGACAGCCGCTCGTGGTGGGTGCCCCTGAAGCTCACCTCCAACACCGTCGACGACCTGGACCCGGACGAGAACCTCATTTCCGCCGAACAGCCCGTCGTTGAGACCTGGGGCCCCGACACCAGCAAGGAGTGGCTACTCGTCAACAGCGACCAGATGGGTGAGCGGACAGGGCGGAAAAATACTGCGTCGATACCCCGTGCGTTGGGGCCATCCGGAGTAACAGTCGCACGCGCGGAGTTTCGTCGCTGGTTCACGACCACTCCCTTCACGTCGTCCTGCAGGATACTACCGCGTCAACTACGACATGTTCAACTGGCTGCGGCTCATCCGCGCCTTCAAGGAGGACGCCGACAACAAGCTGCCGTCGGAGAGCTCGCGCGCCATGCTGCTGGACGACGCGCTGTCGCTGGCCGCGCAGGGCCTCCTGGAGTACCCCGTGGCGCTGCGCCTCATGGAGGCCCTGCTCGTCCGGGAGCGCCTGCCCGCGCCCTGGATCGTCGCCGGCAGGCACCTCGAGCACCTGGCCAAGTTCTTCCGCGGCGCCAGCAGCAAGCACGAGGTCGCGTTCGACGTGAGTAGTGCCTGGTTGGGTTAGGTTGAGAGTGAGCGCGACGGAAGCACTGTGCGTAACCGCGCCGAACTTCCTTGCCTCAGAGATGGGTCCGGTCCCTGGTGGAGGGCGCGTTCGCCGACCTGGGCTTCCCCGACGACGCGGACGAGGTGCTGTCGGCCCTGCCCACCGGGGCGCTGCGGGGCCTGGTCGCCAAGATCGCCTGCCAGGCGAAGCACCCCGAGTGCGCGGCCGCGGCGCGGGGGCAGTACCTGCTGTGGCAAAGGGAGGCAGGTGAGGCCGCGAGGGGCCGCGAGCGAGCGAGCTGGCTGGCTTTCTAACAACGGGGCGAGGCATCCGCGCCCGCGCCTGTCAAAAGGCAGCAACCTAACGGCGTCCTGTTCCTCTGCAGCGTGTCGGGTGACTCTCTGGCCCTCGCCGTCTGCCACGGCGTGACGGGGCCCTGGGCGCGGCCCGAGGCGCTCTCCACCACCATCGCCTTGCTGACCGGCGAAAACGGCGCGGACGTCATGCAGGGCCTGGGCTGCCTCAGCGGCCAGCAGCGCACCGAGTAAGTCCCACGCCGTCGCGCGGCCCGACAAACATCTCCCTGAAAACTTGTCCATGTCTGCATTTTGTTCGATCCGTCTCCAGTCTCATCCAGTCGCTGGTCGCGGGCACCAGGGACATGAGTGTGACCAAGATGGCGTGGAAGGCCATCACCAGCGGGCAGACAGGGCTGCGCCTCGCCCTCGACGCCCTTCTTCAGAACTGCGATCTGATCATCAAGAGGTAAGTCCGCCCGGACCGCCCACCCCACCATTCCTCATTCCTACCGGGGAATTCTTCACTAGTACTTGGTTTGTTTATCGTTGACAGGTTCGGCAGCACGTTCTACGCCGAAATCCTCTCGGACCTGGCGCCGTCGATCACCACGGACGCGCACCTCGACGCGGTAGGTGGAGCCTGGTGGTAGCAGCTGCAGCAGCCCGCACTCCTCGCTCCGTCTCTCTCGCACCCCTACGGCACACTCCATGAGTGCGAGAGAGACGGAGTGAGGGTCGCGACAGACGATGGCAACCTCGATGACACTCCCCTTCTCCAGCTGCGCGAGCTGGCGTCGCACCTCAACTCCCTGAGCCACGACTCGGAGATCGCGGCGGCCGCGGTGAGCGTCGCCGAGGACAACGTGGCGTGGCGGAAGCTGTACTTGGACTCGGTGTTCGACGAGGTGAGCTCCTTCGACGCGGACCCCCAGGGCCAAGCCCAGGGCCTGTCCGTCCTGCCCAACAAGGTGATCCCCACGAACTACGCGCTGCGCCTCGCCACCGCACCCCAGCACGCAGAGTGAGTCGGCCAACACTGCACTGTAAGTCAGGCACAAGTTGAACTCGGAAAAATTAACGTGATTGCGTGCAGCGATCCCAAGAAGGTGCAGAGCTCCGTGGAGATCAGCGTCACGGTCGCGGAGGACACCGACCTAGTGTCGTTCCACTCGGGCAAAGGATTGGCCTTGCAGCACATTGCTGTCACGGATGGTGAAAATGAGGTAAATTACTTCTCTAAATGTCACCTACTTATCAGAATACTCGAGACTTCATTTCTTTAAAAAAAAAATACCCGCGTTTTTCTTCCAAGGCGCTATTCCACTGGTACAACAACAATCTGTGGGATGGCTTCGACGAGTTCACCATGTACAGCGAGGAGTCGGAAATGGTTTCCGTGCGCCTGGACGCCCCGATGCTGGCCGACAAGACCTACACCGTGGCCATCGAGTTCGTCCCCGGGTACGACGTCCTGGCCGGGGACGCGGAGGGAGGCCTCTTCCTCAGCACCCTGCCCGACGGCGTCTCGTGAGTCTGCTCGAATGGCACAGTTGGCTGTGATCGTGGTCGCCAGCTCATTTTCATTTCGTCGGTCGTCCGGTGCGTTCCAGGACGGTCACGGGGGCGCGCATGGAACCCAACAACGCCCACCGTGTGTTCCCCTGCTTCGACGAGCCCCAGTTCCTGGCCACGTTCAGCCTGACTCTCGCCGTCACCGGCACCCCGAAGGAGGCCCTGTTCGTCTCGCCGCAGAAGTCCATTTCGCAAGAGTAGGTGCCAAGCGCAAACCGGCGAGCGAAATACAAGGAAATGAAAATGACGACGCGTTTTCTCCTCGCAGCCCCGCCATGCCGGACACCACCATCGTGGACTTCGAGACGACGCGCGCGCTGCCCGCGCACCTGCTCAGCTTGGCGGCGTTCGACGCCCTGGCCACGGCCACGGCCCGGCCATCCCAGCCGGTGCCGTCCGGCGACACCGCCACCGTCTCCAGCGTGCGCGCGCGCACGGAGGTGCAGACGGCCACCCCGGGCGCGGCCAAACAGGTAGCATGCTTCTCCTTCTGCCACGCACCGCGGGGACGCCCCGTCCGCAGTGTCCGAAGTAGTTTCGCAAACCCAATGTCGTCCCGCCCTGCAGGCCGCCGCCCTTCTGGAGCTGCTGGACGGCGCGCTGTTCGAGCGGCCCCCGCTGGCCAGGCAGGAGATCCTGGCGGTGCCGAGGCTGCAAGGCGGACCCATCATCAGCCCGGGCCTCGCCATCCTACGGTGCGCCTCACCCACTTCAGCTCCAACTTGAATCCTCATTCCACTTTGCCTGGGTGGCTGATTTGTGGATTCGTCTCGAATTGCAGGGAAGGTGACGTGCTGGTGGTCGACAAGGTGTCCTCGTCCGAGCAGGCGGTCCACGCCGCCCTGGCGATGGCCAACGCACAGGCGCACTCCTTCTTCGGCAACGACATCATGTTTGAGGGATGGAACAGCCTCTGGTTCCGCGAGGGCCTCGCCGCGTACCTCGAGAGCTGGGCCGTGGACAAGGTGAGGGAGGAGCGCCTTTCATCCCTCTTCACCCCGTAAATAATATACTTTTAATAATATTTTTTGCAATTTATATTTGCTAGTTGAACAGCGGTGAATACGGCGCGGTGAACAGGGCCGGCGTGGACCGCGTGCACCGCGGCCTGGCGCTGGCCGCCATGGAGACGGCCGCCCCGCTGGCCTCGGCGCAGGGCGACTTGGCCAACAGGGGCCTCGGCGTGGTGCGCATGGTGGCGGGCCTGCTGGGCGAGAAGGCGCTGTTCAACGGGCTGCAGGCCGTCTTGCTGGAGTGAGTATGCGAGCCCCTGGAGGTGGAGGCCTGAATGGAGTGCGTGCAGTTCACGAACGACACCCACTCTCTGGAGGTGGACTTGCACCTAGCGCACTATTTGTTTCTGTGTCGGGCAAGTTGTGTAAACACGGCTCCGGCGTTATCTTGCCTGCCTGGCCTGCGCTCGCCCGGTAGACGCTTGTCTCTCCTCGTCTGACGAGGCAGGGAGGCGCGCGGCATGGCGACGGGGCACGTGTTTGTCTTTGTCTTATTCGCCGCCCTGCCCGTGCTGCACAGTGGGCCGGCCAAGCTGTCCCACGTGGAGGTGCTGCAGACGCTGCAGGCCGCGGCGGACCAGCCGCCGCCCGTCGACCTGGTGCAGCTGGCGGAGTCCTGGACGTCGCAGGCGGGCTTCCCCGTGCTGACGCTCAGCCGCAACTACGACGACGGCACCGGCTTCCTCCGCCAGGAGCACTTCGAGTGGGACGCCGCCTCCAGGGACGCCCCGGACGACCGGACGTGGATCGTGCCCTACAACGTGCTCACCGCCAAGACGGCCAAGACGGACCCCGCGCCGCTGCTCACCGAGGTGCTGACCACGAGGTCGGCCACGGTGAGCCTCACCGGCGAGAGGGGCGATGTCTACATGGTGCTGAACGCGGGTCAACCTGGTAAGCAGTCCCGCACTCTCCACTAGATGGCACTTTGGGAGGGGGTGCCATGGAGTGCCGATGGAATGCTGCGCCGGGGTCGGACGGTTGGACCGCCAGGGCGCCCGTCTCAATGTGGCACTGAAGCTGCCCCTCCCCTCCGCCTCCAGGCTTCTACCGCGTCAACTACGACTCCCAGAACTGGCAGCTGCTGACCAAGGCGGCGGCGGCCGGCGAGCTGGGCGAGGCGCAGCGGGCCACGCTGCTGGACGACGCGGTGGCGCTGTGCCGCGCGGGCCGCCTCGACGTGGCCGTCGTGATGGACCTCCTCAAGGCCGTGACCGCGGTGCCCCAGGGCGCGCCCCTCTGCGTGCCATGCTGGACGGCGGCGCGCGACGCCCTCACCACCCTGGGCCACCTCACGCGGGCCGACCCGGCGCACAGGGCCATGTACAAGGTACGCCGCCATCCTTGAGTGAGCCAGGAACACTTTGCTGTTTTTCTGGCTCTACATTCGGCTTCGCCGTTTGAAATCATGTTCGCAGCGGTTCGTCAAGGAGAAGCTGGTGAACCCGTCCCCCGTGCAGTGGAGCGCACTCGCCGGCGAGGACTGGGCGCACGGCGCCATGCGAGCGGTGGTCACGCAACTGGCGTGCGCGGCCGAGGACGACGTCTGCCTGTCCGAGGCCAAGGCCGCCCTGCTGGACTGGCAGAGCAACAAGTACGTCCCGGTAGCCCCTGCAGTGTAGGCAACTGTGCGGCAGGGCTCTTTGGCGGGAGTGCCTACCCTCGACATCGCAGGGGCTCCTATTGCCATTGATGGCTGACACAACCCTTGCCTCCTCCCAGGGACGCTTTTAGCGTCGGCGTGGACCCCAACGTGCTGGCCGCCACCATCTGCTACATGATGAGTCGCGCCCCCGCGGCGACCGACTTCACGGAGGTGAACGTCCGCATCACGTCAACGGAGGACTCGTCGGCGCGGCGGGCCTACATCGCCGGCCTGGGCTGCGTCCGCGACGAGGACATGCGGAGCACGTGGGTGTCTTTTCTTACGTTACTCTTGTGCTGCACGAGTAAGCTCCAGGGAATACCATTGTGACGCTTGTCCCTCGCAGCCTACTGAAGACGACAGCGGCCAAGTCCGGGGTGGACATCTCCGACGTGCTGCCCATGTTCGTGTCCATCATGGACAACAGTGACGCTCCCCTCGCCCAGGTCGTCGACTTCGTGGCCGAGAACTTCGACGCCATGACCGAGAAGTGAGTCGCTTCGCCGCGCTGTCTCTGTCGCACTCAATGATGGGGCTGTAATAACCTTGTCGGCGTTCCGCAGCCTCGGCCAGGACGTCGCCAACGCCGTGCTCTACGCGGTGGCGGAGAGGGCGCACGAGGACCGGCACTACAGCAAGGTTCGTCGGCGTGCTCGTTTCGTCTGTTGGGAATGCCTTGCCCTACCACGTGTGGTACACGCGTACAAGCGGCGTGCTTTTTTCGGCTGTTCCAGCTGCTCTCTCTGGTGGACGGCTCGGCCTCGTCCTCGACCTCGTCCTCGGCCTCCGTGCAGGCGGCGGTGCGGCGCGCGGCGGCCAGTCGGGCCTGGTCGGCGACATGGCAGTACAAGCTGGTGGCGTGGGTGTACGAGCAGCTCGACGAGGTTCCGCCCCCGGACCCGGAGCCGACCACCCCAGCCACGACACCCGCGTCGACGACCAGACCCGCCTCAACGACACCGGGAGTCACGACGCGGCCAACGACGCAGTCACCGACACGCCCAACAACGCGGCCAACGACACATCGGCCAACGACCCAGCGACCGACGACTCAGCCCACGCCACGCCCGACCACCCACAAGCCCAACTCCGCCGCGGCAGCCTCCACCAGTGTGCTCGCCCTGCTGCTGACCGCCTTGCTGGTCTTGTTGCGGTAGGCACCCGTCCGGATTCCACCGACAGCGATCTCTGCGCAATCTCGTGCAAACGGAATCTTTAGGCCTCACCTGCGAAGGACGATCAAGAACGCCAGAAGTAGGGCCGGTTCCTACTCTGGTCTAGTGTCGAATGATCTTGCAACCGCGTGGCCTTTTTATGCTCAGGAAATTTGCCTCGAATAAAGACTTTTGTATTCTGGGTGCATCCCCTTGGCCTTCTTGACTCCTAAAAACTTTGTCCCTGCCTCACCTACTTTGCACGAAAAATATTTTTTGAGATTTGTCGATTTTATGTTCTTGGTTTACAGAGAATTTATAGTATAAAGATAGAGTATTTAATTTAATTTTTTTGTAAAAAAAAAAAATGTTTTGCTTTACTATTTAAACCCAGAACCTGAAGGTGATCCCACAGCCGACGGCGGGAACTCTTTTGCATCTTTAGAGGGGGAAGCGAGCCCTAGAGCCGCGCCTCAGAGGTAGGCCACCCATTTGACACGCTAAGGGCACCTTTGAGAGGGAGGGGGACAGACGAGTGTTGGCTCCGCCTGGAAAAGCTGGCCCTTTCAGAGACCCTGTCGCTGCTGCAAAATCAGCGTTGCGGCGGAAAATATGCCATACCCAGCCGGTATTTGAACCCAAGTACTTCTTCCATCCACGAGCGACTGAGCCACCCACTGTGCCACCGATTGATTTATGTTTGGTATCGCATTCAAGCAGTTGTACCGTAGAGGAAAATGTTCCTGAACCTGGGATTCCAGATGCCCGGTGCCCAATGGTCTTTGACATATTTACTTCGGTGTGAAAGCCACAAATGCTTTTCTTTGTAGGGAAAAATAAAAGAGAAGTACTCAAAATATGCTCAGCAGAACACTTTATTTGAAGAAGCCAACGACTAGGCCCCACAAAATCCAATTCAAGGACAATGCAGAAAATTTGGATGTATCACAGTTTACTTAAGCAACTACATATCTTAGAAGATCGTAAGCTCTGTGTTTACGAATGCGAGTAAATGTGTATTAATATAATACACAATGAAATACATGATGATACATGAAGAACAACATCAAAGTCACAGTCAAACTGCAGCAATACAGCATATCCTGACTAGATATTAGAGACAAAGTACTTTTATGCCAAGAAAAAAGGCAATAAAGAAGAGACAAAATCTTAGGAAGGAGACATAATTGGATACCGACATTAAAACTGACATCATTTCATGATCCATCTATTCAGGAACATCTATTGGAAGTTCATACCAGAATTAAAACAAGTACTGTATTACTATGAGGAACACTGATAGAGTAGCTTGCAAAAGGAGAATTTAATTTAACAACTCTACTGCTACAGAGGCTTACATATTACTGCTCCTCGCTCAGTAGAATATTTAATAAATTTCTATTAAAATTAAAAACAGCAACTACAGTAAATTTAGAGCTTAAAACACAAAGAGGAAAATAAATATGACATGTTTGTAACACAGAGCCTCCTTAAAGATACACTAAGTAAACAGTCACTTAATTAAAGGCAGTAAGGTTGACAATAAGAAAGATGAATCCAGTTGCTACTGTACATCTTGTTTTTCTGATTCATTAGAAAAGCATAAATATAATTGGCAACAAATACATCAAACTATAAGCATTGTACGAACTCGTATAGTTGGAAGTATGATTTTCTTGTTACAAGAAAATAAGTACAGGTCTGGAAGGAGCATCATAAATACATCACAAATAGATCTAAATTCTGGCAAAGGGAAAACAACACCTACTTCTATAAAATACATAAAATGGTTTGAACACAGCCTTTTAAGAAGATGAAGTCATAGGAATGTGACATAAACAACTCCAAATAACCAAATATGCATTACACAATAGAGCAAATGGTGCTAAAATCTTTCAGCCTGGACAATGACTCTTTCCTCTCTAACATTGTCACCTGTTGCCCAGCAGCTTTGTCGGCAAGTCCATATTAAAACTGTTCCAAATTCAATGTGGCTTCCACTTACATCCATTCCACCTTGCATCTGTAAAACAAATAAATCATAATCAGGAGTCTCAAAAGCCAAAACCATCAAGTGGAGGGGAGCAGAGTTTTTAGGAACTTACTTGTAGTCTGAGTTTGGGAATTATGGAAGGCAGAACTTGAAGTTCAAACACCATTTCTCCTTGACAATAGGAGCAGGTTGATGGTACATCAACCAGAGGTGCAATTGGAAGAGGAGACCCACCTTCGCGACAATACCTGTAAACCGTCAACATTTGTTATAACTTTTCTACAGATAAGAATTTACGTACTTGACTCTCTTAAAACATTTGAAAAAAAATCTAGGGTTGTAGCTTAAACCTACCTTAAAATTTGCCCAGGAGTTTGCTGAATGTGTTGCAGAAAACGATGAAACAGCACGTCCCCGTGAGCAGGAATAGATTGTTCGTACTTCTCAGAGTCACTCCCAGCACATCCTCCTCCTTCAGCTTCTTGAACATCAGAGTTAAATGCCTGGCCCTGGCTCTGCTGGTACTCAGCCAGCAAAAGTCTTACATGGCCTGAAACCTCTTTATCTCTTCTTATGGTTCAAGATAAAAAAAAGAAGAAATACTTTTAGTTATTAGGATGTAATTTCTCAATAATTACAAAGAGAAATCCATTCAACTGTAAGTAAATTTGTTACCTCTTAATGTCTTCTTCCGCTACACAAATAAAATAAGGTGTAAATTGAGCATTTCGAACATCTTTTGGCAGTGGTGCAGACTCCTGAAGTAAAGCATGTAGGTCAAACTGTGGTCCTGTAGGTGTGTCAATGGTAACCTGAGAAAAAGAATGATTCTTTAAGAGCCTTCAAACAACATTCGAAAGAAAAACAAACAACAACATCCAATTCTAAAGTACATAGAAGACAGCCTCTAATTCACTGCAGAACTAACCAGTTCACTTTCATCTCCCTCAATTTCAGCAGAAGCCTGAGGTGAGTGAAGGTTTGCTCGAGCGCCGTCAAGTCTACCTTTGTTCCAGGATGCATTGAAGTTTGCATCTCGTTCAGCAGCACTGTCCATTCTCATCTTACCCAGCTGGGAGCTTAGGGCATCCTGTTGCTCAAAGAGGAAAAACACAATCAGAGCCATTTAAATTCTTCACAATAAATACTGTGATTCCCACCAAAACTGGTGTTGGTTTGGCTGTTCCACAAGTCACCCAAAACTTACCGTAGATTGACCGTCAATATCCAAAACATCATCAGCATCATCGGCTGAATCAGGGGACCCACTATTGGTGCATGTATTACAACTGTGCTCGCACTCCCCGTCAGACATATCATTGATATCAGATGGAGCAACGAGATTTCCATTTTCCAAATCTTCATCCCAATCATCAGCATCTGCACACCAATCAGAAGCACCCAACGCAACGGTCACAGAGGAGGTGTTTGTTGTTTGCTCCTTGGAGCTAGAGTCGAGAACTTGGCTGCGAAAGCAAACCCAACTGAAAGAGAAACACAGTAAGAGTAAAAAGCACAACCAGATCAAAACATAAAATAAACCAAGGGCACTTACCTTTCATTCTGATTCCAACAGTTTGGGTTTAAACAGCCAAAAAGGTAAAGGGTGCGATGATATGGGGAGTTTTCAAGAGGTGCATAGATTTGCACAATGATTGGAGGTGGCAGACCACATAGTTTACAGAGGGGAGATGTGATGCCATCAAGAGGCCAGTTCTGAAAAGAGACAGTAAGTTGTTAAAAACTACAAATATTTTTTTTTTAAATTAGCCTCAGACAGAAGTACTTAGGTTGACAAACAAAGAACAAGGGCTTAGCCAAGCAAACAAACGATTCTAGCATAGAATTGGGGATGACAAGAAGGGCAACGTGTAGAACAAACCAAAAAGACAGTTAGGTTGATTCAAAAGAATGACTTACTGGATTTCCACCAAGTTTGTTTGTCGTGAAATTAACCTGGCTTTTGTACTTGTCAGTGATGACTTCATCGTCGAACCCAAGAAAAACTTTTGCACGTTTACAGGCCATGTTCAAATTTCAGGAGAAAGAAAGACATCGATTTAGAAAGTATCAAAAGACCAGAATTTGCTAGAAAGTTGTGCGTCCGTATTTTTCCTTCACAATCCGATCCACGATGATCCAGCCAGCAGCTTAACTTCTGCTGCTTCCCCTCTCTCCCCCCCCCCTCTCTTCTCGTTTGCATCGAGTGCGCCAACCTCCCAAAGTGAAAAGCATTGTTTCTTTTTCCTGCTATATTGTTCCAAGACAAACAAAAACAGTATCAACCTCAAATATTTAATTTTTGATGGTTCTCTCATTTGTGGAACGGACAAATTAAAATAGAGCTGCTATTTAACTGAACATATTTTATGTGAGATGTGGTATGTTGGTCGAACATCTGCCGCGGTCTTTTTCGAGTGTTTGCAAGATGAAAGCGATGGTAAAGAAACCATTTCTTCAAGAAACAGAAGTCAACTTTTCTATTTTGAATATTACAGTTGAATGAACTATTGTTTTAACTTTGGAATCCTGGTTCAAACTAGATGCTGGGTAACAATAAATTCAGTATAACATGTGGGTTGAACTTAGAAACAAGTTTATTTCTAAACACTTTTCTTAAAACAGTGCAATTCATTTAAATCTGGGTTTGCTCAGTTATCCACCAAACGTTTATGCATAGTTCGGGCAAAATTAACGACATTCAAACTGTCCATAATGAGTCTACAGCTTAACTTTCACTTCACATGTATATTATTGTTAGTAGAGATCATCGCTGAGCACTCTTGGCTATTTGCTCCTTTAGCAAGAGGATACTTTGACGTTGATCTGGGGGCAGACCAGCGATCTGATCATCGCTCAACTGCAAAACTTGCATAATTAATGCAGCCTGGAAAGGAAAAAGAAAGAATAATTACTTTACATTGTCTGAAGAACTAAGGTGGGCTTGTGGTACTGTGCTTGATTGTAATTAAACACCTTTTCTTGGTCAGATGCTCCAGGTGCACCTAGAAGAGGGCCAGGACCCAGTGCAGCAGGACCAACTGGCCTGGCAACAGGGAGAGGCGGGCCTGCAAGTCCCGGTGGTCTGATAGCTGTTGGCATAGGATTTGCTCCTGGTAGAAAACCACAAGGAAAGTTGCAGCAGATAAGTTGGAATAGTAAAAGTTTTAGTAGACCAAAAACAGAAGGAGTGTTCATTTGTACCTGTTCTTGGATCAACTCTGTCTCTCGGATCGACCCTGTCCCTTGGGTCCCTCGGGTCTCTGGAGTCCCTAGGGTCTCTTGAATCCCTGGGGTCCCTCGCATCACGAATGTCTCTTGGATCGCGTGGGTCCCTGGGGTCCCTAATCTCTCTGGGATCTCGGCTGTCCCGAAGATCCCTCGGATCCCTGGAATCCCTTGGATCACGAGAGGGGAAACGATCTGGAGCCATGTTCATACGTGGATCACCACGTGGATCACGTGGGTCGCGTGGACCTGGATAACTGTTTTTAAAAGAGAGGGAAAGATGAGCATATATTACAATGATATTTCCCTGCTAACACTACTAAGTTTATAATGAAATATAAAACTACATACTGATCTGTGGGAAAACCATCTCTTCCATGCACAGGAAGGCCAGGCATTCCTGCAGGAACCTGAGGCACAGGAGGTATACGAAGATCTTGATCAGGAATGCGACCCATTCGATGATCCACTTGTGAACGCATATCCATATCTTGGACACCTAATAATAATGAAATAACACAGTCAAATTACCCAGCAAAACATTCATCCTTACTAGATTTCAATAATTCCTAAAAGCCACTCTTTTCAGCATCTTCTTGAGAAATAAATTTACCCAAAAATGATCCAGGGACAGGTGGTCTTGGTGCACTGGGTGGTAATGGTGCTGATGGAGGCAAAGTACCCGCCCAGTTATCAGTTGGGAGAACGACCGGCTGTGGTCCTGGTATGGAGGGTGGGTTTGAAGACGGATTCGATGCAGGCGTGGAAAGGGGAACAGTCATTGGCTTGTCCGACGGATACAGCGGTACAGGTGTAGGATTTGCCTTGTGAAGCATACTCTGTTCAACACAGAAGAACATGGCTAATTTAAGTACAAGACATGCATATTTACGCAACATTTTGGGTAGATGTTACTCACCACAGCAACAGTCGGATCAACAACTCTCATGACAACCAAGCCTTGAAGAAGAGCATATGACAGCTGAGGGTTTTGAAGTAACATAGAACGTGCTTCGGCTGGGTTGTTCTAAACACAGAAGTTTAAAAATTAACTCTAAGTTAGCTTAATTAGTAGTTAGGTATCAGATACTGTTGTTTAGAAGTTCTGTACCTGAACACATTCTTTCATTTGCTTCATCAACTCAAACATTTGTTCTGGTGGCATAGAAGCAACAGCCTTACTGATAGCCTCTGGTGCTTTGTCAGCATTAATGGGTTCTCCATAGGGGCTTTCAGCAGGAGTAGATTGTAAGAGAGCTGAAAAAATTCACATTAAAAGAAAAAAAATTTGAAGGCAAATGCATTGATATTAAATGTGAATGTGACATCATAAAAATAACACCTACTCTGCATCTCAAGCCTGGACTTTTCAGTACAAGCATTGTCTACTCGCAGAGTTCGTCCTCCTATTTCATACCCATTGAGATTTCGCATAGCACTCAAAGCAGTCTCAGTGTCTTTGTATTCACAAAAACCATAACCTTTAGGTTTACCAGTTTCTCGATCGAAAACCAACCTGAAACCATTCAACAGATATTAGTTATGTATCAAACAGGAAATTTCATGTAAAAACTGAGAGAAACGAAAAGAGATTTTTAAGCAGTGAACAAAAAAATTAAATACACATTATTCTAAAATAAAAACTTAATAAAAGAATTTTTTTTAGACTCACTTGAATGACAGGACAGGACCAACCTCACTGAAAATATCTTTCAGCTTTTCTTCAGTTGCTTCGTAAGGAATATTCCCAACTATAAGGACAAAACAAAAATAGGTTAAATTGTAATTCCAAACAATTACATATACATAAATATAAAAACAAACAGCCGGTATAATTATGTTTTAAAGGTTAGGAGAGCACTGACCAAACACCGATCTCATCGACTTGTCGATAAGGTTTTGGTCCCCCATCTTTCCAGCCAGGCAGTTCTCTTTGCTCGCAAAATTATCCCTTCGGGCAAATTGATGGGCACTGCGTTCTGAAGGAACTGAGAACTTTACAGCGGTTGGTTTCCACAATCGCAATCAACAGCGGAGCGGCCACGGAGCAGACACCGACACCCTCCGCCTGCCGCTGCTGCTACTGCTGCTACCACCGCACCGCACCGTTGCCGCCGCCGCCGCCGCGACACCGGGACTGCTTGAGAGAAGAACAAAACAAGAGCAAGGGTGGCAAGGGTGCAAGGGGAGTCCCACGGCGGAGGAAAAATGGGAGGAAAACCGAAGCATCCGAATGGCGACAGAATGGTAATGGATCGGAACGAGGCTGCTCGTAACCGGAAAGCGGACAGCCAAAGGAATGACAAAAACGCGAGGAAACATGAAGGGCGCGATAGCGTTCGGAGTGTGGGAGTGTTTGTCCGCGGTTCGCCTGCTTGCAGGGGCCGCCCGTGGGGAACGCGATCGCAGTTTGGGGTCTGAACAGTGCATAAGGGCACACCCCCGACGACGTCAGTACGACCTCAGTCTGACGCCTCTCGTACGCCAGTGTGGCGATCGGGGCTAGTCTCTGTGGTCGGGGTCGGCGTCCAACTGGCGTCGTAATGCCGTCGTGCTGCCGTCGTTTTGGGGGTCGAAAAAAATTTCTTTTTTCGGCGCTAGTCAGACACCATACGACGTCGTTTTTTTCAGCGCGAAAAATGTCGCGCGACCGTCAAAAAAACCCGGGGGAGTGAGTCGAACACAGAACCCCCGCTCGAAAGCCGGTGCCCGAACCCGCTGGGCCAGAGCGACTTCTTTTGGGGGCGGGGGACCGCAGCTCTAGTCTTTTGACTCGACCCACATGGCACGGGCCCCGAGTACGCATCTTTTTCTATGTTTCTTTCGCAGCGAGCAAATACAAAAGCCCACGGCCAACAGATTTACAGACATGACAACTAGGTTAAATGTTTTTGATATCGGTTCAAATGTGCGTACCGCATCCGATGGCCGAAAAAAAATAGTACTCTGGCGTCAATACTCTGTGGCCCCTGCCACGGGGGGTCGAGTCAAGAAGACTAGAGCTGCGGTCCCCCCCCCCTCAACGAAGTCGCTCTGGCCCCGCGGGTTCGGGGCCCCACATTCGACGCGGGAGTTTTGTGTTGATCACTCCCCGCCGGGTTTTTTTGACGGTCGCGCGACATTTTTCGCGCTGAAAAAAACGACGTCGTACTGGTGTCTGACTAGCGTCCGAAAAACGAAATTTTTTGCGACCCAAAGCGACGGCAGCACGACGGCATTTCGACGCCAGTTGGACGCCGACTCTACCACGAGACTAGCCCCGATCGCCAACTGGCGTCGAGAGGCTCGACTGGGTCGTACTGACGCGTGTGGGGTGTGCCATTATGACACTGTTCAGACCCCCAAATTTCGATCGCGTTTCCCCACGGGGTGTCACGGGTTGCCGCGGGTTGCCGCCTGCGTGCTGCCTGCTGCAGCATGCTGGGCGCGCCGAGTGCTGCGGAGAGGGAAGGAGGGAAGTGCGGGGGATCACGGAGTCATTGCGATTCCTGCCCATCCCATCCCGTCGTTCCGAAAATCCGGAGGCAATAAGGACGGCTTCATAATCCAGATAATTTTGCTACCACTTGATACTGGGCTATAAAGTTTACCTGATCTAAGGAGACATGACGGGCTGAGGCTGTTGCCGCCTGTTGCCATTCAATGGCATTGCTGGCATTGCCGAAGCGCGAAGCGACACACGACGGAGCGCCGCCATCGCGTTCGGCAACATGTGGACTCGCACCGCCCTGTGTTCCCTGTGTGTGCTCGCCCTGGGCATCGGGACGCAAACCCAGGCCAAGCTCAGGACCATGGTGAGTCGGAGAAGACACCACGCCGTTTCGCCAATATTAACATGTCTTTCGTCATTTTTGCCGCTGCCACTTGAGTGATCATCTGACAGAACAACGCTGTTATGTACGAATGCGCCACACACTTGTTGTATTTGCTTCAAATATAGACTTTCAAGTCCTGGTGGGCTTGAGGTAGTGCCTGCTGCTTTGCAACAGAATGAGAAAATAAACTCATTCCGTCCAAATTTTAAGTCAGTAGACGTCCCTTTGGATTCGAGTCGATGCATACTATAGCAATAGTACGGGTCAACAACAAAAGCCAAACCTGACCGAAGTTCAATCGCGACTGACTACTAAACGTTCCTGCCAGCTTTCGAGGGAGGCGGACGAAGTGGGGCGTTTTGCCTGCCGTTCAGGCGTTTTTAGAGGCCGTGTGGAGGAGACACCAGCTGACCGTTTAACGAACAGGCTTCGCGCCTCAACAAGCAGGCTTCCACTAATCCCCCAGCGCGATTCCTTCTCTGGGCGCCGCTTTGCCGCTTCGCCGCTTTATGGCCGGCCGAACTGATTACTGCACAGACAATCGCGTCAGGCAATCGGCACACGGTCGCCCATTAGCAGATTGCTCGGCCCGGACCGAGTTGCCGGAGCCATGGAACGGAGCTGGCCGGGACAAGAAGAGCCACAATTTGTTCTCTGCTTTTTCTGTAGGAGTTGGAGAGGACTGTGGACTTCGGCCAGGATGTAGGTGAGTGCCAAATTGCCGCATGCACGCACAAAATCACATTGCGGGGAGACCGGCAAAGGGTGGGTCCGCGGTTCGAACACGCTAAGTTGAAAATGTTTCCCGCAGGCGGCAGCAGCCACCCGTGCTACCGGCCGTGCGGCGAGCCCATGCAGTGCAACTACACCATGACGCTGTCGCTCTACTCCACCTGGAGCATGCACTGCGGGGACTGCCCGCGCACCAAGAGCCACTGCAGCCTGCCCGGCTGCATCACGGCGGGGGGCACCGACCGCGTCGTGTACGCCGCCAACCTCATGGTGCCCGGGCCCGCCGTTCACGTGAGTGGCAAGGACACCCTGGCCGCCCTGGCCGCCCTGGCCGCCCTGGCTCCGAGCCCGCCACCTTCATGACCTTGACGCACTGCCTTCAGGTGTGCGAGGGCGACACGGTGCGCGTCCGCGTGGAGAACGCCTACCCCAACGAGGGCGTGACGCTGCACTGGCACGGCGTGTGGATGCGCAGCACGCCCCACATGGACGGCGTGCCCTACATCTCGCAGTGCCCCATACAGCCCAGCAACGTGTTCGAGTACATGTTCAGGGCCTACCCCGCCGGCACGCACATATGGCACGCGCACATCGGCTTCCTGGAGACGGACGGGCTGTTCGGGTCGCTGGTGGTGCGCGAGCGGCGCAGCGCCGACCCCCACGCCGACCTGTACGACGAGGACCTCGCCGAGCACGCGCTCATGGTGTGGCACTGGTACCCGCACCGCAGCGACGAGTACCTGCCGCTGCGCCTGCACCGCAACGAGAGCGTCAGCGGCGCCGGCCTGCTCGTCAACGGCAAGGGCGTCATCCAGGACGTCGGCGGCGTGCGGGGCCTGGACGCGCCCCACGAGGAGATCCGCGTGCAGCAGGTGGGACGCGGCGTGACGCGGTTCGAGTGCCCGTCCTGTTCCTGTTGAGGCTCGAGTTTACTTTGGCCGCTCTGCCGACAGGGCAAGCGCTACCGCCTGCGCTTGGCGTTCAACAGCGCCATCTACTGCCCCGTCCACCTGTCCATCGACAACCACACCATGACCGCCATCGCCAGTGACGGCGGCGACATCAAGCCGGTGCAAGGTGAGTGGCGAGCAGCGGTCTGCTTCACCCAGTCAGACACTGTCCCACAAAATGGTGCGAAATCCAAAGGGACCGACGACTTGCCCTCGACTTGTGGTCAAGTGACCTCTCAACAGTCATCGCCGAACCATTTAGACTGGGCAGGGCACAGCCGATAGCGTGGGTAATCCCACCAAGTTTCCACCGAGAATCTATCTTTATTGCCGGATTGGTTCCTGTGGCCCTTGGCGGTCGGAACGTCGGTACCACTGTCCCCGCAAGGAGCCACGGGCCAGTGCCATTAACTACCATTAACCACAAACAATGGTCTGCCCAGTGGACAGCCTGATGCTGAACGCGGGCGAGCGCTGGGACGTGGTGGTGGCCGCGGACCAGCCCGTCGACCAGTACTGGGTGCGCATGCAGGCGCTGGGCGACTGCGGCGCGGCCAAGGGACGCGTGTTCCAGCAGGCAGCCCTGGTGTACGAGGGCAGCAACGCGGCCAAGCCCGCGGGCCAGCGGCCCAACTACGAGAGCAGCGGCCGCGTGGGAAAGGTTGCTAAAATGAAATACTCTAAAACACTGGTGGATGTTGACCACTGGGATTTGAACCCACGACCGCTTGGCTTTCCCTCCAGCTGCTGAACCCCATGCAAGTGGTGGCTACGGACTATTCCCAGTACGAGTTGGTGCATTTGATGGACCTGGAGAACGTGGAGCCTTCCGTCCACGGCGACATCTCCGGCCCCGCGGACCACATCCTGTACATGACCCTCGACTTCAAGTTCTACGGTAAGCCAACACCCCCCCCCCCCCCCCCCCCGGCTGTCCCGCCGGCCGCCACTCACTTCCGCCCACTGGCGATGCGCAGACGAGCTGGCGGCGCCGGGGCCATACCCGCAGAACAACGCCGTCACCTTTGAGTTCCCCGCGGTGCCGATGATCCTGGAGCGCTACGAGAAGGACCCCGACCGCTTCCTGTGCACCGCGGCCACCGCCCACGAGCACTGCATCGACACGTACTGCAGCTGCCCGCTGCGGGAGATCCTGCCGTTGGGCGCGCTCGTCGAGATCGTCCTCGTGGATGAGAGTGAGTCCAAGGAATAGGTCTAGTGGTTTTGCCGCTCGGTCCCTCTCGCATTCGTGGGGCGTCCCGCACGGGTGCGAGAGAGACAGAGTGGCTGACGAGCTTCGCTTGGCCTCGGCCGCAGCCACGGACCGCGCCCAGGACCACCCGTACCACATCCACGGCACCAACTTCCACGTGGTGGCGGCGGGCTCGGTGGGCGCCAGCGTGTCCATGGCGGAGGTGCGGCGCCGCAACGAGAGGGGCGACATCGCCAAGCGCCTGGACGCCACGGCGCCGCTCAAGGACACCGTGTCCGTGCCCAGCCAGGGCTACACCGTGCTGCGCTTCCGCACCAAGAACCCTGGTGAGTCCACGGCGCCCACATTCCAAGCTGGGTCCAAAGCCAGGATGACGCTCACGCTCCACTCCGCCTGCAGGGTTCTGGTTCTTCCACTGCCACGTGAGCAACCACGTGCACCTGGGCATGGGGCTGGTGCTGCAGGTGGGCAACCACTCCGACATGCCGGCAGTGCCGCACAACTTCCCCCGCTGCGGGAACTACGTCTTCGACCCCGAGGTCCCCGACGACTCCGGGTCCAGCAGTGCGGTGCCGTCCTGGACGGCAGCGCTGGTCCTAGCAGTGGTGGCGCGCTGCCTAGTGTAGACCCTGTGCGGGGGCAGAGCGTGCAGCTCGCTCCTCTCAAGCCAGGCTGCAGGCTGACCCGCAAGAGGCGTCTCTTCCGCACTCTGGGGGAGTCTCGTTGGGGCGCGAGAGAGCCAGACAGAGCCGGGCATGTGCTGTGCAGTCCCTGTGCTTGGAGCTGCGTGCTGCACCATGAGCGCAGCGCGGTTCAACGGTGTCAGAAATCTCAATGTCGAAATAATACATTATGCTTGTAGAGAACCAGAAATATAGTGCTTTATTTAAATAAAAACATGTACAAACCACATCATCTCTTAAATTTACTTCTGAACTCGCGCTTTTTAGCTTGAATGTTAGCCACCTTGGCGCCATGCTTCGCCATGACATAGGCCTTGTGTTTTTCTTTGCGGAGCCTCTTCTTAACAATTTGATCCCTGTTTTGAAGTGCTTTGTCTCTCTTCTTTCTCTCCAACTTCTGGTTATGTCTGCCCCAGTGCGTGTTGGGATGAATAGCTATAAAAGAAAAAAATGAGTAACAGTTGAACATAATGGTCAACATGAAGTGCAGCGACAGAAGCCAATGTAAGGCAGATTTTAATAAACTTCTGCTACATGCTAAAGATAAAAGTGAATAAATGCTAGGCACCAATCAGTAACTTACACTTGGTTTTACGTTGAATTTCTTCTCCTTCTTCATCACTACTATCTGCCTTGTCCTCAACCTTATTCTTTTCCTGCCAATTTTGATAACGGCCACTCTTAAAAGTGGATGGGATCCATTGACCTGCTTCTGTTTTGATCATTGTAACCTTTTTCTCCTAAAATAAAAAGAAACAAGGAAAAATGCAATCAGTGAGGAGAGTGATAGAAAAGAATTATGTACAAGCCTGGGAGTTTGTTTCCTTACCGGATTAACTTGAACCATCTTCTTCTTCTTGCGATCCCACTTCATTTGCTGCTTTTTGTGTCTCATCATTTCATCAGTATCACCAGTAAGGTCAAGAGAAGCTGCGTTTGCATCCTTGGTGAAATTGACTGACAACCTAGATAGTAAAAGATAATTTAATACAGATGGCATCAACTGAAAGAAAAAGGAATAAACAATTGATCTTACCCTTCCTCCAAGTATTTATCTGGTGCAGAATATGGAATGTAGTGCTTCTCATCCACTTTATTTTTATTCCTCATTTTCTTAGCTCTTATAGTTTCAGCATCATAAATTCTTCTTTTAGCTGGATTGATTATTGTGCTGAAGGTATCATCAATGTCATCCTGGGTGCTGCTTGTCAAAGCTTGAGGAGATTCCAAACATTCAGCATCAGTTTTCAATGAGAGCTCTTCTCGTTTCAGTTTGTGTTTTCCTATGTTAGTGTCATGGAAATCTCTTTTGGCTTTCATTGCTTGGTACTGTGAGGAAGCAATACTACCTCCCAGCTCAAAGACAGTCTAAAAACAAAGAAATAAATTATTAACACAATGTTTTGGTGAGCATTTGAAATTAAAATTTGATTGAACTAACCCCTTTAGGACGATACTGCTTCATTGCACTAAGCAATGTTTGTTTATCAGCTTCCAGTGGCAAACAATGGATTTTATTAAAAATTGGATGAGCACCTAGTTTAGTAAAATCAAGCTCTCTCAAGCGTCGCACACTCTCTACTGAAGCACCAGTACGGGTCTGTAGGTATCGAGAGTAGGCATTTTTACATGTTCTTTTCTGACTCTCCTGGATGGTAAGAAAAGAAAAATGAATTAATTCACAAGAGGCACACAAGTATCCAGCTAACTCCCAGACCCAGATTTTCACACACCATCTCAACATCCTTGATCAGCATCATATCAATATTTGCTTGTTCTTCTTCAATCAAGGGTTGCGGAACACAACCAAACACTCCATCTGCATCTTCATCATTCTCATTGTCTCCATTTTCTTCCTTCTCTTTTTTGATATACATAGCTGTCTTTGCTTTTTGAATGCCTCTTCCCAAAAATAAATGCAAATCAAGTAGGTACGGTAGTTCTTCAGTGGAAACAAGAGAGTACGCTGTTCCACTGCGGCCTGCTCGAGCGCACCGACCTGAAGCATGAAAGGAACTTTTATTATGCATATATTGTATTAAAAATCTTGTACTGTATTTCAGTCTAAAATATAAGATAATACTAACCCACTCTATGAATAAAAAGTTTGGCTTTTGCAGGGAAGTTGTAGTTTATTACATTATCCAAGAAGGGAATATCAATACCACGAGCTGCCACATCAGTTACAATTAAAGTCCGGACTGTTCGGTTTGCAAACTTAGCAACGTTTATTTTTCTGGCTGAAGCATCTAGGGTGGAATATACACAGGAATTTGATATTCCAGAATGAGATAAGAGCTGCAATAAATAGACATTTCTTAAATGTAAAATCTCATAAATGTGAAGATATGTTAGTCATAAGGCTTTTCAAAATAAGAGAGAGATATCTTACCATGCTAACATATTCACAATGATGCTTAGTAGCAACAAAAATAGCACTCTGAGAATCATTACCAATGGCTTGCTTCAATAATACCAGAAGGGCTGCATCCTTGTCTTCAGGTCTGCAGTTCAAAAATACTAATTTCAGAAGTTCAGGCAGTTTTGACTCAACATCCAACCTGCCAAATGAAAAGAAGTAAAGGATAACATATCAAATTACACATAAAATAACTAAATTGATGAAGTTTACAAAAATTGTACCTTAACAGAACTGGGTCTGCCAGTCCAGCTCTAGCAAATTCAACCAATACTTTGGGTAGAGTAGCAGAAAACAACAAAGTTTGTCGGCTATCCGGGAGTCTCCCCAAAATATCATTCATTTGTTCTCCAAAACCCATTTCAAAAAGCCTAGAAAAATATATAGAAACAGTTCCTTAGTTGTGGCAAAGAGAGAAAAATGGAAGAGGTGTCTGAACTGTGGCAATGTTTTACCTGTCTGCCTCATCAAATACTATATATTCTACTGCATCAAGTTTTAGATCCATTTCAACACACAAGTGAAGAAACCGTCCAGGAGTTGCAATAATTATATCAGGATTTCCATGCATAGCTGTGAATTGGTTTTCCATAGAATCCCCTCCAAGGACACAAACTGATTTTAAGCTTGTGAAGCGACCAATCTCTCGTACAAATTTTAAAGTCTGGAAAAATGGAAGGGACACAACATACAGTACAGACAGACTGAAGTAAATATAACACTAAATTTTCAAATCAGTTGAGTACAATACCTGAAGAGCTAACTCTCTGGTGGGCGAAAGAATCAAAGCTCTTGCACCTACTTTGGTAGCTCGTACCTTCAGCTTTTCAAACATCGGAATAAGAAAACATGCTGTTTTACCACTTCCAGTGCGGGCCATGGCCACAACATCTCTTCCACTCATTACAAGAGGAATCGTCTGAAATGATAATGAAGCAAAGAATTGTACAGGAACACCAAAAACAACAACGTAACAATCAAAACACTGTGTAGCAGAAGGAGGAGCAGCTCACCTTTCTTTGGATAGGTGTCGGAACTTTGTAACCGCGTTTCTTTATTCCCTTAAGGATCTCAAAACTTAAACCTAAACATTGGAAGCCTCCTCCCTTTTGGGATGTTTTCTTCGGTACAGGAAAATCTCCTTCATCGCCGTCAGTGGGCAAGGAAAACCCCACCACGTCTTCCACTTTTTTAGAGGAATTCATCTAAGAAAAAATACAGAATGGAGAAAGACTATTAGTGGAACAAGGGCTAAAAAAGAACTTCGAAGCAGAGGTTAAAAGTACAACTGACGACAAAGATTAAGACAAGTAATTTAATAACAAAAACGTTTGATTTAAATAAGTGAGTTTCCAGTAGATGAATAGACATGGTTTCCTGCTAACGACAAATTTAAATGCAAAACTCACTTTGATAACACGGCAAATCCTTGACAACTCATAAAAAAACACTGCTTTCCCTTAACCACGTTAATTTTGGAGGTTAGGCTGGCGCTGTCAGTGACACGTTGCGCGAGGCTACCATCATCTCCAGGTATGAGAAATATAACATTCTTTATCTCAAGATTATAGGACTTTATAGTCAAGGACTCTACATTCATGAAGAGTCCTGTTGAGGGGGACTGAACGACTCTTATCGTAGTAATAAAATCAAAAGTCTTCTTTTTTCTATTTCCAAAAAGAAGATTCTGCTGCACAAGAAATGGCTTGAGTTACAGATACAGAAAAGTCCGAGCGAGTCGGGGGTCTCGTAAGTTTCCAAAAAGTCTTGGGAATGGACAAAACGAAACAAAACATGAATGAGCACCATAATTCGTTTCTTTATATATTTTTCTCATAGTGGAAGCAATTTAAAACGGATTTCAGCGAAATTAAATTGAAGACACAAACAAATCAGAATATTGTTTGGAGTGCAATTCCATAAGCTTGCGCGACATATTACTTCCGCCCCACCCTTCCGCGCTTCATTTCCTATCTTCTAGACGCATTCTCTGAAGCACTCAGCAGAATGATTCCAAACAACAGCGCGTCAGGCCGAAGCTACTGTCTTTCACTTTGGCCTGGGGAAGTCCCTTGGGTGCGAGCGAGACGGAGCGCACCCTGTGCAAAATGGAATGGTGTTTACGCTGCTGAAGCGCTGACGCCTCGCACCACTAGCCAGCGCAGCTAGCGCCACCCACTCGCCATTTGGCACCTCGCTGGACAGGCGTTGGGCCCCTGGCAGCCCCTGGCAGCCCCTGGCCGTCAGGCCGGCAGCCCCGTGAGGCGTCGGGCTGAGGCGCACACGTCGCGTCCTCACACACATTCCGTGCCGCCCAGTCGCCCAGTCCGTCAGAGGGCGTCGAAGCGTTAGCACCTCACCCGCCCAACCGACAGTGCCGACAGGCCGAGCTGACGAGTAGCAGGGGCTGCATCGCTGTGCACACACGGCCCGCCACGCGAGGCGGCGCCTGTCGTGATCCTGAGACGCGTCGACGCCGACGTTGACGGCGACGTTGACGAGGGCGTGACGAGGGCCGGACGGGGCATGTCGACGCCGTGGACTCCGCGCCGAGCCTCAGACCTGCCCTGACTGCTGGCGGCCCTGGTCCCTGGCCCGGCGCAGGGGCCGACGGGGACGTCCAGGACCAGCGCCGCCGCCATGCGCGCCGCCGGGCTCGTCAACTTCCTCCTCACGGGGGTCTGCCTCACGCCGGACTACGAGGTCCTCAAGAAGAACAACACGCTCAAGCGAGGTGCGTAAGCGGCGTAGCACTGCGTACCACCACACTGGCAGCCAACGAATGTGACGTCATATTCGTTGGAGTGTGAATTTTGTCACGTTCGTTTGAATATGATGTCACATTCGTTTGAACGTGATTCAGCCGTTTAAGTAGGGTCTCAAAATCGTTTGAACGTGGATCAACATTCAAACGAATGTGACTAAATTCACATTCGAACGAATATGACGTCACATTCGTTGGCTACCAGTGCAGCCACCAGCAGCGGCGTAGCGGCGCCATATTGGCCTGCCCCCGCGCCGCAATGCACCCCGGCCGTCCAGAGGGCTCCGTCCCGCCCAGTGCTCAAGGGCGGATCCAGATTTGCCTTAAGGGAGGGGCAAAGTAGCACTTTTTGCCTCCGCGCAGGGGCAGTGTGTTTCTGTTTGCCTCCTTCCAGGGGTGGAATGTTGTGCGAGGGCGCAAAAGGCCCATTGCCCCCTTTCAGCCCGCCGGCCGCGCTCCGACCCTACAATGTTTGTTCGTGTTGCAGAGGTGGAGTTGCTGTCGGACGACACCCACATCCCCCAGGATGTGTGCCTCATCCCGGATAAGAACCTGCTCGCTGGAAAGAAGCTCACCATCGCGACCTGGCAGGCAAGCGGCTACTCAAAATAAACCTAAATTTCAGCACTCGGACTCCGAATTCCTTCATCTCGAACAAAATTCAGCTATTAAAAAAAGTATTAAAATTTCACTTTAAAAAAGTACGGAAGGAATGGTAGCCAGCTGCTGTGACTCAGTATAGTAGGCTCCGAACAGTGCTTTCGTCGCTGTCTCTCTCGCACTCACGGACCCGCAGGAGTGCGAGAGAGACAGAGTGCCTGGCTGCTCGCAGGACTGGCCGTCGAGCGGCACGCGCAAGGATGAGAACGGCAACCAGGTCGGCGACGGCTTCGCTTTCGAGTTCGTCGACATCCTGCGGGAGAAGTTCGGCTTCTCCTACGAAATCATGCTGCCCGACGAGAACATCCTGGGCGACGCCACCAGGGGCATCCTCGGCCTCCTCCACAGCAAGGTGAGGCCGTGGAGGCCGTGACCCAGTCCAGCCAGTCGGCCGTGCTCCCATTCGCTGGCGCGCCACTCCGTCGCCCTGTCTCTGTCGCACTCGTGGAGCGGCCCGCAGGCGTGCGAGAGAGACGGGGCGACGAAAAGGCTCGGCCGGCTCATTTTGCGCATGACGACCCAGAAAGGCTCGCCGCGCCGCCCGGCGCCGCTCTGTCCCGAGTCACGGTGTGAGTGCACACTGCACACGGACGGGAGGGAATCGGAACCAATCGGAACCAGGACACCCGGGTGGACGGGGTGGCACCGAAGTGGCCTACTCAGAGTGACTAATGATTGTTTTTCGGTTTCCGCCAATCCCAACAACCTGCTGTCGAGTCCTCGGCCGGGTACCCCATCCATCCTTTCGATTTCTCGCGAGGCGTGGGCGTGACGGCGCGAGTGGGCCTCGGCAGGTTCAGGGTGCCTTCCGAACTGGTTCAAGGTTCACAGAGAAACCTTCCGGCTGGTTTGCTGGCCAGTCGGCGCCAGTCGGGCAGCCCCAAGCGGGGTTCCTGTTTTCGTCCTCCGGCCTTGCCCGCCTTGCCGGCCTGTGGCCGCGGTGGCCGCTAGCGCGACGCATCTGTTTACCCCTCCGCGGCGCCGCGGCCACGACAAACATCCCCGACTGCTTCGGGCGCCCTCGGGCACCTCGAGCCTCGACGGCGCATGTCGCAGGGGAAGCCAGCGGAGATGCGGCGTTGTGTCCGCAACACCGTAAGCAGCCCCCGCGTCTCGCCCCGCTCTATGCAGGCCGCGGGTGATGCATTGCCCACGGCCCGGCACTCAATGCGGCGGGGTAAAGCGAAGCCTGGCGGAGCGGCGCCCACCCTTGGCCGTGAAGACGCTCCTCGAACGTTGCCGAACTTGCCGGGGGCGGCCGGGGGCGGCTGGGGGCGGGAGTTTCGCAAACACGCCGCGTCCCCTCTGTCGCTGCTGAAAGGCCCGGGGGGTGCCGTGGTGGTATGGCCGGTCAGAAGGGCGATACCGCAACAGTGTGTCTCCCCGCAGGGGTGCGAGAGAGACAGAGTGCTTTCCGGAATCGCCCCTCGAGACTTGGCGAAGCTTGGAGGACTCCCGGAGACAATCCTTGGCCACCACCACAACTGCCATACCGCGTTTCGTTGACTCGCCCAACCCAGAAAATGTACTAAGCGGAATGCAGGCTCCTCGTTTTGACCTCTGGAACGGCCGGAAGCCAATCCGTGGCGATCACGAGGTGGCCGAGGACGGCGAGGACGGCGAGGACGGCGAGGACGGCGAGGACGGCGAGGACGGCGAGGACGGCGAGGACGGCCGCCTCCCCTCCGCCTCGGCCGGCGGCGCACGCAGCTCACGCCGTTTTGCAGACGTGTACGCGGTCGATGTGGGGCATAGATTTGGAGCACCTCTTTGGCGCTACCGAGGTCTAACGACGCGCCGTCGGCACTCCAAGGTGCCCTCGGTGGTGGCTCTTGCCGAGACCGTCACCGAGCTGTCGCCGAGGCCGTCCCCGAGGCCGTCCGCGAGGCCGTCCCCGAGGCCGTCCGCGAGGCCGTCCCCAAGGCCGTCCCCGAGGCCGTCCCCGAGGCCGTCCCCGAGGCCGTCTCTGAGGCCGCCCACGAGGCCGACGCCGACGCCAATAGAGACAGCAGCAGCGTCCCTCGGTTTTTCCTCAGTCCACCCGTTTGGCTAACGAAATGTCGAACGGAGAACCACCGTGTCAATATACACAGCGCGACAATCTTGCGCACGTCCATTTGCCGTCCAAACTCACTCACTCAGTCGCCCCTCCCCACGCCGCGCCACCCCGCCCCGCACAAAACGCGCACACAACGCGCAGCGCCGCGCTTCGATCTCATTGTGAGTGGTTCACACGGTGCGAGATCGCATTGCGTCAAGTCGAGTGTAAGGGAATATCGACCGAGCGTGGCGCACGGCGATGAGAGACGCCGCGATAACCCGCGGTTGCGTGTTCGAATCCCCGCGGGAGCCAGCCGGCGTTAATTTTCTGTTTGCTCTATTTTTTGGCGGCCACGCGCGGTGCGGGTGGGGCCCCTCGCCTGTTGCGTTTGGATTGCGCCGGGAAGGCTGCATGCGGTGCAGGGTCGACTCTCGTCCTCCTCGACCTGCCAGAGCTCTGCAGAGGCCGCTGAGGCTGCAATGTTCGAGGTCCTTCTCCGACCCAAGCGCCCCCAGCAAAGGCCTTTATCATGGGCCACTCTAGGGCTCTAAAGCCTCTAAAGCTGCAAAGCTCTAAAGCTGGCCGTCCGAGTGATGAGTCAGAAGCGTCCACAGTGGGCCAGAAGACCGTCGAGGTGGTCAAATGGATTGCTTTCCGAACGAGGAAGTGGGGTCACTCGTTCGGTTCGAGTCCCGTTCTGCGACCCTGGAGCTCAAAACGCGTGTAGAGTTTTGGCCACCTGCGCCGGTCTTCTGGCCCAGTGTGCCACGCTTCCTGTTGCTAACGAAGCCCCGGCGGCCTAACCGTCAAAGAGCTTCGGGCACCTCTTGACGTGGGTCGATGCTTGTTTGGCGCTGGTCCTCAACGCGACGCCCCGGCCGGCCTTTTAGCGACTTGGTGGCCCTCCGTTGGAACCGGCGACTCAAAAACCCAATCGATAGCGTCGTAGCGCCGTACCGAGGCGGCGTGTCCTCGGGGGCGCGACAACGCGAAATGCAAAGGAAGTGCGTCGCGGCGCGTCGCGGCGCGTCGCGGTGTATGAGCGCCTCCATCATTGTGCTTGCCTTCCAGAAGGTGGACATGGCCGCGGCGCTGCTGCCCGTCACGCCCACCACCATGAGGCTGGCCAAGCCGTCCATCTCGCTGGGCGAGACGGAGTTCGTCATCCTGATGAAGCGGCCCACAGCGTCCGCCACGGGCTCCGGGCTGCTGGCGCCCTTCACCACCGAGGCAAGTCTCGTCTCCCTCTCGCACTCGTGCGGCGTCCCGTGAGGGTGCGAGAGAGACAGAGCGTCATTCCTGCATTGCGGCTCGTTGGCAGGTGTGGCTGCTTATCCTCGTCTCCCTGGTGCTGGTGGGCCCCGTCATCTGCGTCATCATCAAGATCCGGAACTACCTGGTGCGCCGGAAGCGGCCGCTGCTGGTCCCGGACGACGACCCGGAGCCGGAGGACTACTCGCTGCCGGCCTGCGTCTGGTTCGTGTACGGCGCGCTCATGAAGCAGGGCTCGACGCTCAGCCCTCGCACAGGTGGGCCCCCAATCAATGGGCAACGCCGGGCAACGCGCTGGTTCGCGCCTCCTCGCGGACGTGGCGGGGCGGGGCGGGGGGCATGATCCAGACCGATCGGATCAACATGCCATGTTGGCTGGCCATCATGCTGATTTGATCAATTATTCGACCAAACGGGGGCGCGCGTTGCGGCGTGTTGCGAGGAAGATAGCAGTTTTCACTCCGCGCCCGGAACGTGGTTAACGTAAGCACGCGCGTGAGTTCACCACTAGACAATCCAATTTATTACACCGGGTAAAAAAGAAGACAAAGAAGTAGATATGAGGGATTTTGATTCACAAATCGACTGGCGGCCCGGACCTCGAACCTGATCTTTCAGGAAATGTGTGGGTTTCGGGCAAATGTTCGAGTTTCGTCTTTCGTACCGCGGGCTTTGTCTTTTCCTGACCGGCGCTCTTTCGGAACGCGACAGAAAACGCGCTAAGCGGCGACGCGCGCTTCGATTTACCGCGCGATTGATACACGTCGGCGCGGTGGCGACTTGGAAAATGCGACTTTGATGATTACAAAGCACCTCGCTGCCTTTCGCCGTTCGGGCCAACCGAAGCAAAGCGAGGATCGATGCAAAGCAAGGCTGTCGCCCGCTGTCGCCCGCTGTCGCCAGTCCGTGTGGTTAGATCGCGTTTGTCACCTCCGACGGACGACGGCCGCCCCTCCCCCGCCTTTCGGTGGCCCGTCCGTCCCCCCCCCCACTCGATAAAAAACCCTTCCCGCTTTGTTCCTATTATTGCTATGCCGACACTGTGCAGCTCTAATAAAGCGTGCCGACAGCAAGGGGATGGCTAAACGCCGCACACTGGGTGCTTCCTTAGGGTTACGGTGTCGCGACGGTTCGTCGGCCCGTGACACACGGCGTACCGCCGCCCCTCCCTTGACTTGCGTCCCCCCCCCCTTTTGGCCTTTTGGCGACCACTACCCTGCCGCCACGCCACGCCACGCCACGCGTGCTAGGCTGTCGTCATGCACGACTCACACAATCGTTACTCCACACCTAGCGGCTGACTGGTTCCGAGAGGCGTGTTCGTCGCTCCGTCTCTCTCGCACTGAAGAGGCGTGCCGTATGGGTGCGAGAGAGACAAACCGAGGCAAACGACCCTCGGAATCCGTGCAGGCCGGCATAACGACGCCCCCGCCGCCCCGCTTGGCCGTGGCGCCCCGCCGGCCCGGCCGTGGCGTGGCCTTTGTTTTTCCAGACTCGACGCGCATGCTGTTCGCGACGTGGTGGCTCTTCATCCTGGTGCTCACGGCCTACTACACGGCCAACCTCACGGCCTTCCTCACCCTCTCCAAGTTCACGCTGCCCATCACGGGCCCCAAGGACATCCCCAGGCGGTACAAGTGGTTCGCCGAGCAGGGCAGGATCCTGGAGAACGCCATCTTGGTGAGCGCCTCATGCATCTTTTTAATTTCTTTTTCAGAATTGAGATTTTTTTTTAGCGGCAAGCGTTTTTAAATTGTGTTTTCCACCCTCAGAACGAGACGTACTTGCCGGAGCTGCTGCCGCCGCGGTTCGAGCCGCTGCCGTACCTCAACGAAACGCGGGAACAGAGGGTCCTGCAGCTCGTCAACGATGAACGTGAGATCTGCCTTCAGCCACCGGGAACACAAATTCGTTTCCCTTCCCAAACTGAGGCACGTCTCTCTGCCGACAGACCTGGTGTTCCTGGAGGAGAAGCGCAAGGTGGAGTACCTCATCTTCCGGCAGTACGTCAAGCTGACGGCGGCCAACGAGAAGGAGTCGCATCGCTGCAAGCTGGCTATGACGCCCCAGTCCTTCATGAGTCACACGCTGGCCTTCTTCTACCCCTTCAACTCGTCGCTGGTCAAGCTGTTCGACAAGACGTGAGTGTCGCCCCGTTGGCGTTCGCTGCGTGCGTCCGCAGCCGCCTGACCCCACCCGAAGGACCCTTTCGTCGCTCTGTCTCTCTCGCACTCATGGGTCTGCCCGTAGGGCTGCGAGAGAGACAGAGTGACGAGACGATTCCCCGGGATCAGTCCGCTTTCCGCTTGACCGGCCGCCTCTGCTGCAGCCTCATCAGCCTGCTGGAGGCGGGCATCATCAAGTACCAGCAGCGGCGCGCGCTGCCGCTCAACCAGATCTGCCCGCTCGACTTGAACAACAAGGAGCGCCAGCTGCGCAACGAGGACCTCATGACCACCTACAAGGTCATCGGCTCGGGCTTCGTGGCGGCCATCGTGGCCTTCGTGGCCGAGTTCGTCATGCAGGGCTGGCACCGGCAGCGCGCCAAGAAGCGCGCCGCCAGCGCGCAGCGGAAGGTGAGGAAGGGGGCGGCCATGTGTCGGCCAGTTGTGGGCTGACCCGTAGTGGTAATGGTAATGGCGAGGTAGGCCGCGCGCTCCTCACTGGTGTTCGGCGGGCCGGCCTATGCCGCGGTTCGCAGGCGCTTCAGCGCGCCGGTGTCGTGCCATGAGTGTAGCATTGGCAGAAGTGTGGAGTGCAGCCATCGCGCGGTGGCTGTACCCATCCCGGCAGTCCGCACGTCGGGGGCACAATGGCTGTACCCTCTTCCGATCGTATTTTAGCGGGTACATTCATCCCGCGATGACTGTACCCGCTCTGGCATCCCGTCACGGTGGGTTCAGCCATCGCGCGATACTTGTACTGGCGCAGTCTTATCCGTCGACTGGGCGCACTGACCCGACTTGCCTTGTTTCGGGCTTTACCGCCTGCGAGGTAGGCCACGAATCCGGCCTGCAGCACGCCAGTGTGGAGACGGTGGCCCATCTTGCCCCTGTAAAGACGACAGGGCGAGGTAGGCCACCGTCTCCACACTGGTGTGCTGCATGCCGGATTGGTGGCCTTCCTCGCAGGCGCTACCACTACCCTCACCGTTACTGATCGTAGGGCCCCCTCGAGCCGCTGAACCTTCCGAACGAATGGTGGGCCAGAAGACCGGTGGGCGGTCAAAATCTCGGACGCTTCCTGACCTCCAGAGTCGATAGACTGGAATCGAACTGAACGCGTGACCCCGCCAACGCATTCCTCGCTCGGAGAGCAACCCATTGGTAGGGTCACACGTTCGGTTCGAGTCCTGTTCACTGACTCTGGGCCTCAAAACGCACCTAGAATCGGCCCGCTGTGACACGCTGTGAAGCGCAGGGAAGTTGGTCGCGGTTCGCGCCTTGCACACCGAGGCGCCCAGGGCCGCGCCCAGGGCCGCGCTCAGGGCCGTGCCCTGCCACAGCCTGCCAGCAGGCCGGTGGATGTTCAGCGAACACCGCCTAGCACGCGCGTGCCGCTGCGACCAATTTATAACGATGGCGATACGATCGGAAGTAATCGGGCGTGAGTGGAATCAATCAAAACATTGATGGGTCGATACTTGACGCGATGCGCCACGCCGTCGCGCTGCCCACCGCCAGTGGCGCCGGTACCCCGCGGCCGCACGCGCAAAATACGCGCCTGCGTGGCTGCCGCCTCGGCGATACCCCAGGCGCCACCTGCCGGCCAGCCGTGCAAGCATCGAGCGGGGTATCGCCGGCCACCTGATGCCGTCGTCAGCGGCAAGCCGGCTAACGCCCCTGTCGATACAGTTCCTTGGAGTATCGCCCGTCCGTTGGGAGTAGCGACGCGCCTGCCTCTGTCTGTCGCTCCCTCCCCTCCACGCGTCTGTCCCTGTCTCTCCGCACGTCTGGCCGCCCTGCCGCAGCGCGTCTGCTTCCTGTTCCAGCTGCTGGGCACGCCGGTGGAGCGCACCCCGCTGCCCAACCGGAAGAGGGTCCGCCTCAAGATCCCGGTGGGGCCGCGGTACCCCGGCGACGTGTCCCACGTGCTGGTGCTGCCGCCCGGCCACGGCATGGCGCCCGACAAGCTGGGGGCCATGCAGGGCGCCATGCAGGGCGCCATGCAGGGCGCCATGCAGAGCGCCATGGGCCCCAAGGCCCAGTTCTACCCGCCCGCCTCGCCGTCGCCCTTCATCTTCCGATGAGCCCACAGACAGTCCCAACGGCAAAGCGAATCTTGTTGAGAGTTTCCTCCTACCGGAAACTGGCATCGGAAAAAGGGCCCTCTATTACTTCCTCGCACTGAATGTTATTTTCTAACGTTACGTTAAGTGTGTATAAGACTTACTTAGTCTGAGCGTTTTAACGTTGTGATTAATTTGTTGTAGAATTGTCGTTTTTATTCTAGTCTTACATTCTGTAAAGTAACTGTCCTGCTGGGCAGCGTTTAGACTTATAGGTTAGAAATAGTTTGTTATCTCCTGAAGATCGACGCCTCATTTCCGTTAGATCAAGTGAATAACGGGAATCGTCGAAGGAAGGATATCTGTTTCAATTGAAGAATGGTTGAACCACGTGGTATAATGATTAAAACACAAACGTGCATTATGGACAATTGTGAGCTTTAATGTTTACCAAATATTCACAAATTTCATATGCAATTTTGAGTGACAACACAGTATGCATACTGTTTACAAGAATTTTTTTTCTAGTAAAATCAAGCAACAGAGGAGACATGCGTGCATAGGAAGAGGAATAGGAATAGAGAGCTTGGTGAGCGAGGCATTGACAGACATAGGGGCACGTATACTTGCCCTCGTAAAAAAAAATCTTGGTACTAAGAATTGTCATATAAACGTGAAATTGAGAGTAAAAACAATATGAGGTAGCTGAAATGCGCTCCACCATTCGACAAGAGCGCATAATAATTATTACATTACTAGAACACACTTTTCAATTACTACACATTAAAAAATTTCCCTACGACTGAGTAAAAAGAAAGATTGATTTAATGGCAAATGGATTTTGAGCAACAAAATTCTTCTGTGCATTAAACGCTTTAGTCCACATTTACATGAATTACGCATCGTATCGTAATCCATACCATAGTCTCACAAAAAGAAGGAAGTCAATTTGGGGCAAGAAAGGAAAACTGTGTTTTTAAGAGCAAAAAAAGTTGCTTGGTTACTAGCACAAGTCTCAGTTCGTTCTACAATAATAAGTCTACTAATTAACAGAATCACATTAAAATCGTACATTCAGAGGTGGGCGTATCACAAAACAATTAGAGCACATACAGCCAAATAACTTAATCTATGAGGTTGGTGCTATTTCCACGGCAAATACTGTAGGTTTTCCATTTTAGAAGGCGTATTTCCTTCAAGAAAAGAAATTATTTGATCTAAGGTTTTTTTTTTCAAAACGTTGCTTTAGAGCCAGTAAAACCACGAGGTGGACCAGGAAGAGTGTGGAAAGGAAGGCAACGTCTGAGTGGTAGTTGCAGGCTCCATCATTGACAGGAATAGAGAGTGAGAGAAGAGTGATCGGATGTACGAGATAGGCGAGAGCGTAAACTAGTCGTGGTCCAGTTTTGTCCGACCCTGAAGCAACAGCAGTACAAAAGGCAGACTTTTTGAGATTTCCAACCATTATCTTGACCCCCACTTAGCCATTACAATATGCAGATGGTCCACACTTACAAACGCTAAACAGATCAAATGGACCAACGTTATGACCTCATTTTTGCCGGAGTGAAACTGCGCCAAAGTAGTCTAAAAGAAATACGCAAAAATTAAATAAATGGAGTTCCACCAACAATACTACAGAAAGGCGGTTGTACTATGAAATGAGGAACACATATTTTCTACAAGATAGGAAGCACACACTGTACAGCTTGAATGGAATGCACATTTAGCCAACAGATCACTTATTCTTCGTGGCCTCTACTCTGAATATTTTAACCTAACACGAGACACAACATCAATTTGCCATAATGTAACGTCCATATCCTGCATAAGATCAACCCATTTGGGGAGAGGACATACAAACGCTCTAACAATATGATCACAAAAAATTGACATAAATTGACTCTCAGATAAAAAAGAACTTACGTAATTTTTCACACGATCGGAACAGCCCAGATGCATGTACATTAGCCACAAAGCTATAGCGGTTGAAATTATCCACAGAAGCAGTGCGTGCTTAAAAAAGTATTGTATGAGTTATTGCCATGATTTCTACACAGGAGAATCGTGAGCATACAGCAACACCTAGTACATGAACATTACACTTAGGTACATCGAAATGATTCATTACGAGATCTGGATAAGAGTGGAGGGAAGTTAACTACTAGTCTACATCATCCAAATAAAACAAAGAGATGAAATTTGTATGGTAGTTAGACACTTATAAGGCAAATAAATTTTCCTTTCCAAGGAAAAGGGAAAGGAAAAATCCAAACTCGTTTTTTTCCACGAAGAAAATTCTAGCGAACATTAAAACGGTAACTTATGAGACGTGAGAGTTATGAGGAAGATATAATAGAAATATAATGCCTCAAATTTATGGGGGTAAACTTACGAGCCGTTCTCTTGGGCCAAAGCTGAGACACCCGACGGTCTCTAACACCGACAAGGTTTCTTCAAAGATGCCACAGACGAGACATCAGCAATAAATCTTTTTGCTCTTTCAAATCAATAAAGTCTAGACGGCGGGAAACATGCTTCTTGTTTTATACTTTTAAAGGAAATTGAGAGGACGCGATCAAGACAACCCACACGTGCAAGGAAGTAACAGTAATAATAAAACGCCCGAACCGAAGGGCAGTGGTCGTGAGATATCCTTGGGTCTTTGTCTTTCTACTGATAGAGTACGCCACAATATGCGTAGTTACATAGCTTATAAGTTTACATATTGAAAACAAAGGATACATCTGTACGTTTGAGTATACAAGCAGCATTGGCCCAGAAGAAAAATATATGCTACAAACAGAGAGCTGGTAACATTCTTTGGCACATAGCGGAACGTCATAATTAATGAGCAAAAGTTCTATAGGTAAGGTTAAGTTGTAGGTTCTTTAGGTAAGTGCAAAAAGGACAAAACCGTCGAACCTACTTGTCGGATGGAAACGTGAACATTAAAAGTGGTAAATAAGTGATGACGTGAAATAAATTCGAGGCATTACCACATCACATATTAGCTGCATAATTGAACTAACTTAAAAATAGTAGGTACATAAATCTGCCAATAAACTCCTCAGAAATATTTTTACGTTGCGCTTTAAAAAACGATTATATATTACAACATATAAAACATACCTATATGGGTGCTCATATTTAATCTGTAAAACACATGTATAAAAACGATTGCAAGAAATAAAATGAACGAGAAAGTGAGACATAAAGAATGGTAAAATCTTTCATTAAGACCCGCTCATGATGGAGGTCACAAAGAAGCACGTGTAAATTATCACAACAGTAATGAGTCGATGCAATGAGCTTCTAGCTCTGGCGTAATAACATCAACACCAACACGTGATGTTGAAAACCGAAACATTGACAACACGACGAAAACAATTACATTCCCGAGTGAAGGTCACAGAAACATCATCACGATCTAAAACACTCCTCTCAGTTCGTGGCGGTCGCGTAGCCAAAAAGTAACTACCACACTAATGCGACGCCCCTACAGCCCTGAGCAACTTCTCCCTATCACAATCAGTATTGTCTTACTCCTAAGAAAAAATCCATCAGCCTTAATCAAGTCTTCACCCGGGATAAGATGTTTCCGTACATGTCAGAAAAGTCGCATCAGGTAACTTTCTGCTGCATTGCAACGATTAGTCTTGCACATCGCTTAAGAAAAAAGGAAAAGAACATATCACTGACAGTTCTAGTAGAAAGCTTATCTCAATTTGTACACCATCCCTTACTAGCACGTAACAAAATAAACTTAATCTCTGTTCAGTATATTAAAGCACGTTCCTTTGAATTGAATTGAATACTTTTGCTTTTCACATAATGAATATAAATAGCGGCTTCTCAAAATTTTCCAGTGAAATGGGAAACTGTTGGACTTTCATAATTTTGCTAGAATAATGCGTCTTATTTAAACTGACGCTCAGTGACACAACAGGTTCCTATCGCACTCGTTATATAAATATAAAACAATTCAAATAAATAACAAACCTAACTCTATAAGTACGCCTTTCTCGGCATGACTCCTAAATATACAAAAGTCTAGAACCAACAAAAAATAAATAAAACGAATAAATAAAAACAACTAAATTTAAAAAAGGTTTGATCAATAAATAAATAAATAAGGTATCGTTAAGTACATATACATTTATATATACACACACAAAACATTCATAATTACATGCGCACAAGCTATCAACTACAATATTAAGTTATTGCACAGTTATAAGAGCTTACATGGTGATAAAAATCACCATGTAGGTCGCACCATTTCATAATGTACCCATAAGGGTTATCCTTTAAGTAAAAATTTGCAGGGAATCAGTCCTGATTCCTAAGTTCAGTCTTCAATCCACAACCACCTCCGTACCGCCTCCAATTATAATATCACGTCACAAAATCCAAGACAAAATATTCCTTGTCACTGCAACAGCTACAAAGAATCCAACAAATACACATTCTTGGCGTTGGGATGAACTACACACATTATAACTAACATACACTTTCAAAACACAATAATGGTTGGTCATTGCACCGAAGAATCAGATCTAATTGGAGAGACTTAACCAGATCAGTACATAAAACATACAGTTTCACTAAAGTTGCAATCACATCACAACACGGCCGTATATAACTCCAAAAATAAAATATAGGCCAGTGTTTTCAAGATAGTTCCAGCCTAAAACACACACCAGTACATACACATTTCATCACAAAATACGAATCGAAACCAGTCGTCTTATTCCAATACAATACTCACATTTTATCACAACCTTTTCCTTTCATCATCCTTCCACATACCGATATTATAAATCATGCATAAAAATAACAAAGATTTCGTTCTATTGAGGTTTCCCGGTTTCTAAATATATTATAGTATAGCCTTATATTGCGTGTAGAAAAAAACATATTGTAATCTATTTCAAAATGAGGTATTGATAGGTACTCAGTATTATGTGCGAAGAGGGAAAGAAGAGACACCTTTCACAGATCGTAAAATCACACCACCACACCCACAGACGTGGGTATAACACATTTGCCGGTCACAGTTGCTTCTACTAAAAAAGTATTTTTGATCAATTATCACACTCCCGCAGTGATTATGTAAAAGCGGGTAATATTCCTGAGAAAAATAACGCGCACACGGCAAATTACCACAAATCGAAACATTTCTCTTTCCCTCCTCTAGGCAGTTGAACACAGAGCTTTATCTAACGAATTAATGAGGTAATAATTTGTGAGCTTGAGCTGAGCATGTCGGGGACAGATATTTACTTTTTGAATTAAACCGTTAAGTACATTCAATGAATGTATGAAAATGGATGCAGCGACGTTGCTGAATAGCCTATTTTGTTTGCGTGACAACATTCTCAATAGTAGGTATGAAAAATGCCCTCCATGCTGCAGCTTCCAGTTAGAAATTGAAACCAATACTATTGATCTAAACAGACAAGACAGTTATAACATATCGTTCGTGCTTCTTGCTTTAGAAATTCTTGCCTCTCATACTTTTGAAACATACAACCACTACCTTGCCGTCTTATATAGACAAGCATCGACATATGTGAATACAGACATTCTTCCATGTATAAAACCCAGTCTTTTTAGGCAAGAATTTCAAACAGAGTTGAAAAAAACCATCCAGCTGATTCTATTGCTTCTATTAAGTATATAAGGCAGTATTAAATCCTTTGTACTGTCAATTCAATAAAAATAATCTTAGTTACTGAGTGGAGCAATGAATACATTGCAACTCAACAAAAATTGCTTCGTTAAAACGAAATAAAAGTTGCCGGTGTGCATTTGCACACTCGTGAGCTTCTGTTAAAGAACCATATAAAAGGAAGACATGTAAAATAGTATCCATTAAAAATTGCTTCGTGAAAAACATCCGACAGTATAAAAGAGAAGAGGAACGGGTTTTCCACATTCATTTGTTTCGTATCCTTACACAAAGTCCATTCCCTTTCGTTTCTTCTAGTGACTGTAGTCTCTTGCTGCCAGCTTGCTGCTCTACGACGACGCGTCCACTTCGCTGGCCGCGCTAGCCCCACTGGCGGGGCGCGGCAGGGCCAGACTCAGGCCCCGCTCCCGCTGCGAGTGGTGGATGTGGGTGGTAAGGTGCTTGGACAGGTAGTCCGCGCGCGCGAAGCACTTGCCGCACATTTCGCAGTGGTACGGCCGCTCGCCGGTGTGGATGCGCAGGTGGCGCGTCAGGTCCGACTTGCCGCCAAAGGCGCGGCCGCAGAACAGGCAGACAAAGGGCCGCTCGCCAGTGTGCTTGCGCACGTGCAGCTTGAGGTTCTCCTTGGAGCGCACGCACTTGCCGCAAAACGGGCACGCGAACCTGCGCTCCTCGCGCTGCCGCAGCATGCTGTACAGGTTGTCCTGCGAGTTGCGAAAGGCGTCGGCGCCGCCGTTGGCCGTCATGGAGAGCGCGAAGGCCAGCGAGTCGATGGTGTCGTCCTGCTCCGTGTCGGACTTGGTGCCGCTGCCGCCGCTCGCCGGGCCGGGCCGCGACGACGGCCGCGCCTCCCCCGTCATGCTGTTGCGGCTGCCCATGTAGTAGTAGTCGTCCAGGGAGAACTTGTAGAAGTTCTGGTGCTCTATCTTGCTGACCGGCGCGCTGGACGCGCGCTCCACGCTGCGGCCCACAGCCTCGTTGGAGCTGGACACTTGGTCGGCGTCGGCGTCCACTGGGGACAGGCTGGCCGTCGGCGGCGCGGTGACCCGGCCGCTGGGGTGCGGCGGCGTGCGGCTGCCGCCCATCATGAGCAGCATCCTGGAGCCGTAGTCGGTGGAGGACTCTGGACGGAAGGGTGGCGGCGTGCCGCGGGGCAGCGCGTCGCACTCGGCCGCGCTGGGCGAGCGGGAGCGCAGCTTCTCGAGAGCGTGGTTCAGCCGGTGCTTCTTGAAGGACTTGAGGTACCGGAACTGCATGCCGCATACTTCGCACGTGAAGAGTTTGTCTGCGGGCAGGCGAGCACGGTGGTTCTGCTCGCGGTGCTTCAGGTACGCGGACCTGTATCTGTAACTCTGCCCGCAGACCTCGCATCGAAAGGGCTTCTCTTCACCAGCGCCGCCCGCCTCGCTGCCGCTGTCGCTGAGCGCGGCGAGGGACGGGTACTTACTGCTGTACGCGGCGTGCTGCAGCGCCATGTGCTGCTCCAGGAGCCAGGGCGACGGGAAGTTGGCCAGGCAGATGATGCACCTCACGCCCCCGGTCGACGGCGTGGGCACCGCCACCGGCGCGCTCGTGTCCTCCCGCAAGTCCAGCGGCGGCGACGTCAGCAAGGTGGGGTGCTGCAGCAGCGACAGCATGGGCCCGTGGCCGGGCGGCGCCGTGGGGCCACCAGGCCCGGGGCCCGGCGGGGGGATCGGCCCACCCCACGGGCTGAAGGCCGGGCCGAACGCCGGAAAAGGGAACTGGAACGGCGTGGACGAGCGGCTGCTGGGCTGCGACTGGCTGGGCCTGGCGCGCGAGCTGGACGTGCACGGGCCGCCGTACGCGGACTCCTGCGGAAAGACAAAGAGCAGCTTTACTTCACCAATCCTCTCATCAACGAAACACTTGCAATTTCTGTTGTGTTGCATAGGTGGACAATTCTTACTCTCGCTGACTGCCACCGCGAGGGGATGGGTACTTGACGAGAAACCAGTATACTCTTTTTTCAATGCCCTGTTTGGTTTGGCCACGTATCTCAGCGATTGACAGCGTAGCGTACACCAAGCAGTAGAAAGAAATGCAGGCAGCTGTTAAGGCGATACGCGGCAAGCGCCTGCGTGTAGGCAACCGTGTAAGCTGTCGGCGCGGCTGCACGATGTGTTGCCGCCCTCCCGATTGACAGGCGCTCTCCGGCGACGCCGAGGCAAACGCCGAGGCCAACGCCGAGGCCAACGCGGCAACTAGTGGCCGTGGATGTCAACGTCATCGCGCTAACAGGGCACACGACGGGAGAGGCGTGTGTATCTGTCAGCACGCAGCACTCAAGGAACGGACGCGCCAAATAAAATATGCTGTGATATCGTTTCCAATTTTACGGTTAAGCTTTATTCATTACAAACAGAAGATAATGATACATGCTTTGTAATAAATAAAAAAAATAAAGGGAAATATTTCCTAGTGACTTTTTAAGTAATGTACAATTAGCAAAAGCCAACACAAAATAAGTGCGACCGAAGTGGCTGCACAATATAAATAAGAGGAACGACAGGGAATGAGCCGGCGGCCCAATGTTCACATCTCGTGTTCTTCTGTCATGCATTTGTACCAACATGTCATGATCACTCAACTGTACACTATTTCCGTGTGATGAATAAATTACGTGAAATTTACAAGCATTTAATCACAGACTCAACACAGATTTTATCTGTAGATACAAACATTGTCCTAAGAAAAAAAAAGACAAATAATTATACAGCGTAAAATAAAACACAAACGCCTTCCACAAGATCTCTACATTACAACAATCACTTGCATAACTGTCTCCCCGGAGAGAGGAAAAAAAAAACAATTGTAATTACAACCACACAAACACGTCACACCATGCCAACAAACATAGTGCCAGGCAAGACACAGCCAACCAATAATCAAAAATAAACATCACAACTATTTTACATATCAGCATGTACGTAAAATGCTTTAAAACAACGCAAACCAAGGTACTGGGATTGCCAAGTACCTCCCCTTTACCTTAAAATCAACACAGAAGAAACAAAATGAAAACCTCTACGATAATGAAGAATTGCGATTACAAGGTTTCAAAGCTTGTTTACATTCTTTGGTTAATGTAACCGCACATCGGTGGTACGTCTCAGTTAAACTGCAATAAAGTGGCACGATTCAGTTTGCGTTATTTCAAGGCAGCAATTTTCAGCCATGCATCCTGATTAATGTGGAATGAGTTTCTCTATCAAAAAAGAATTGTTCCAAACGTAATTACCGTTCAAAACAATTGTACACACACACACATGTCAACCGAACAATACGATTTGGATCACAATATACCGGACAGTTCCTCCAACTAAATCATAAAAATCAAATTTTCGATATGTCTATAGGTCTGTATTCACTACTGATAAGAAGCTTTGGTATCCAAAAGTCTTTGTGTTTTTTCATACACAAAATAAACACTGATAACGACAACAACGTAACTCTTTCTACAGACTTGGAAAATCTGAGAGGAATATATATATAAAATCTGCAGCTTTTTCCCTTTGATATAATGAGCCTCAGGGCATTGCTCTGTTGTATCCACAAAACTCGAAGTTTAATAACAATACCGGCGTAACAGGAAAGCCCCACGGGGCTCCAACAGAGCACGTCGAAAACCGAATAGGATAGGATAGTAGCACAGCTCTGCCATTCAGCGAGCTTCGTTTCATACGTGCCACCTTCTATATTCTACATCGGCAATCAGTGCGTCTTTGGTGGTTAGTGATTTCAAAATTTTCAGGGGTTGGTTAGAACTACTCTGTTACAATTAAACAAAAGTTGAACGAAAAGCACATCGGTCAACAAAGATATATTTTAACAAGAATCAAATGGCGAGTTGCGGCTGCTTACCCTGTTACAATTTGATAACAACACGAGCACAGCCCGTCTGCAAGTGTACCTCGAAACAGTGCCTGAAAGGTACTGCAATTTGAGCTTTGTTTCTGAAAAATTTAATGATGCTACTCATTTTAAAAATAATCCAGTGATAAAGACACTTCGTAATTTTCAGAAGGAGACGCAAACTACCTTATTTCTCTGACTATTTATTTGTGAAATCAAAATTAATCTTTGGTCCCTTGATATGTATTGTACATGCTCAATAACCAATTTTATGCAAGAACATGAGGTAACACTTGAAACAGAAAGCGCGTTTACGTTTGATTCTCATGATAGATGAGAACCCTGTCTGACAAAACTTTGAAGCAAGCACGCAGTTGTAAAATATAGGTCAACTCATTACAGAACATTCTTTCAAAAGGAGTCAGGAAGCATGCCACTCATCGAACCAACGCACAATGGGAAAGACAAGTTTGGCACCTATGGCCCTGAAGTGTGGGTATTATTAGTGAATGCATTAAACATAAAAACAGCTGACAATTTTGAAATCTTTGCAACTGACCGCAACCACTGACACCAGGCAAATAATTTAGTTCACAGTACGAGGCGTACCGCATCATGGTCAAAAAATTGATTCAGCTTAAATCTAACCGGTCTTTTTAGACGTCAATTAACAGCAATTACAGCAATCTAACAGACATTTTCACATTAACAACGGAACGGAATGTCTAACTACAGTTCTCTAACACATACTGTCGACAATAACATGGTAACAACAGATTTCAAAACAAATAATATAAGCTAACAAGATTTCTTTTAACGTTTTCATCGTTATAACAGTTAAGCAGCTACAAAAATACTCTGTCTCACCATACATAACGAAACAACATCTAACGAGATAATGCGCGTAGTAAGTGGCGCGAATATTTTACAGCAAAACATCAGTGGATCTTCAAAAATAGAATTACATTTCATATGAACGAATACAATGTATTGTAACAGTTATTGCTTCTGGTTAAGGAGTGATGTAAGGTTGATAATTTGTAGTGCATACTGTTCGATTAGCAAAAGTGCCTGTCAGCTTTAGCAAAAGTATAATGTTATCATTAGTCCCTACAAACACTAAAAAAACCTGTACAACAGAGGGAATCCTAGACACAAAACTTTCCCAGTGGGGCACACGCTTCATCTTTCACAACCAATGAGATATGTCTGCATCAAGTAAGGATATACATGCAAAGGCTGCCGGACACAAAAAATTCCATTGATTTGAGTAGATAATTTAATAACCGCGTTCCGAAACGCACGAGTGCAGATTGCTGTTTGAGAGGATTAAAGGAAACTAGAAACAGCGGAACTTAAGCCCTGATGTCAAATCCAGATTGTGACATAAAGTCGTAAATTTAATATCGATGGACTTTGAGGGACTGAACGGAACCCCCAGTTAATTTCAAAAACAAAACAACGGACAGACCTTAAGCTACTTTAATCTCAATAAGTGTGCGGACTGGCGTGTGAGTGATTTTTATGGTGAAGTGTGGCAAAAAAAGAAAAATAATCAGACCTCCGCGCTAAGTTGTACTTGGTTTTGTCCGCTCAGAGCGGCGTTTGCAAAGTACTAACCACAAAACTATTAGTAGTATCACATTCCACTCGAGCTTCTCCATCCGCGCTCTGCCCACCACCCTATCGCCCCTAATACTGTTAACAAAAAATCTCTACAACAGAAAAAAATAAATAAGAACGAACCCAGATAGGACAGGTAATGGGAACCTCTATCACAAGTGAGTACGATGAGGAACACCTCCTACAGTAGGACCATGCACTAATGTTGAACACAAGTAAAGAATTGATAATCATCATAAAAGTATGGGGGAACAACCAATTTAATTGGTTGAAGCTACAGAGAAACTCAATTATGAAGTAGAACGATTAACTTGAGATGTTACTTCTGCCGAGTGCGTAAGTAATTGTAACACTGAAAAATCGTGTTGCGGCATAAGCGCATGGTCCCTAACATTGGCATTATTACTTACAGATGCACACACCTGTGAAGCGTAGTGCATATGTCACATAATGCATGCATTCCATTCAATGTCTGGGCTAATTAGGCTGTTTGAAGCAAACTAGCCTCAATTAGCATAATTTTTGTACCGACATTACTTAAACAACAATTAGATCTCAAGGCATCCAAGTGAATGCATCTCAGTCATGCAATTTAATGCGAAATCATTGCAAAACATATAAATACGACAGTCAACCTTTGACATGTCAAACATGAGATTGTCAATGGCGCGTTTTTTAACCGAGCGCCACAGAAGAAAATTTAATGAACGACACAATGTACAAAATATGTTTTCTAAAACAAGTTGCACTGTACCGTATTTACCCTTTAACAAGATACAAAAAGTTGGTCATACTTTTGGTAAACTACAAGACTTTTAGTGAGCAACATGAGAATAATAAAACAAAGAAGAAAGGGGCGATAAACTACCTCTTTTTTTTTTTGGGGGGGGGGGGCTTTAAGCGGCGTTAAAGCTTCCATACAATATATGTAGATTAACCAGCATGAGAAACAATGATTGCGTCGCATGCTGATTTAGTTACCTACGAACAACAATTGACCCAAAGGTCACACTGAAATGAGGAGAGGAATCTACACGTCCGGTGATCTTGAAACTGAGTAAATACGGTAAGAACTGAAATGCCTTTGACACGCACATCACTAAATCAACGCTCATTCTCTTTGCACTCTTTCAATTGAAACTAATCAAATATCGTATTTACAGAAAAATTAAATATGTATAAACATTATCACATAAAGCACTACTGGGTCTCTCTCCATTCACATTGTGAATACTAAACAACGCGGTCTCGCTACGATCCAGTGATTCACTTGGTTGAAAGCAGCCTATATGGTGGGATCTTATCAAGCTCTAGTTTTCGGGCCACATGTGTACAAACTATTATTGGGTAAGACGAATATGCCAAAATACATTACCTACAAAGTTTCCTTCTATATTTGTTTCAAACATACAAACCTAAACCAATACATAACCACGCATAAAGATGAATGTGTGTTTATTTTTATGAATGTTTTAAAATCCTTCGTATAAATATTCTATATCTCAGTTGAGGACTAGATACCTTCGAAATGATGCAGCTCTTTTGCTGTATTGTACACACAACCTGCTCGTGAGCTAATCACCGCCGCTAGCACAAATCGTAACATATCCTAACGTTTTGTTAAAGCACTCGAGAAGATGAAAAGCGAGTTTGTTTTTCATCACATCAGTCTTTTGAGACAACCGTCAGCTTCGTCGACCCGCGCTCTGAAGCATGAGTCATGTGTCCCATCCAGTCTTAATGAATAGTCATCATAATGACACTCCCATAGAGGTGATGATACCTGAACATTACACTAGCCTCTCGTAGCAACAGCGGGGGAATAGTGTCCCGATTCGCAAGGAACAATCCCAAAAGCCAACGATATGAGAACGTGACATGACACGTGAGTTCAACCAAGTCGTATACGGTCAATAAGATATTAAGATTTCTCGAAATAGGGATTGCAGTGTAAATCGATGCATTATTACACGTGTGCCATTGATTTGGGACAGTCTAAAGTTGAGGTATCGTTTTGGAAACTAAGGAGATTCCAGTTTTCTTACTAACTCGAACATCTTAAATATTGACGCTCCCTTGTAAATAACCCGCCATACTTCGTGATGATTGATACACTGTTTCGAGCAGCAGATGGCTTTAGTACGCCTAAAACGCTCCCTTGGTAAACAACAAAACACACCTCTCAACATACGTCCACAACAAAACATTCGATTCTAATTTACGAATCCAAGATTTTCGTTTAGTCAGGCGCCAGCTTTAGCGTCGTCTACATGTTAAAAAACAACTGCAAGGCATACAAAACTACCAAACTAGTTTTAAATGCTGCTTATAAATATTCCAACTATCAGTACTGCATTTCTCCTACACCCTACTTACACATTGGGTTTAATATATGTATTGACATTCAACCGTATATGGTTTCTATAAAGTGTAAGAACCCTGGTTCCTATCATATTAGTTTATCAAAACTACTAAAGCCTCATATTGTGATCAATATCTTTTAAAAACATTCATCCATGTAATATATAAATAATTTTTCCTATGCCACAAGTAAACCTAACGAACATTGCTAATATTATATAGGTTATCCATCCTTTGGCGAAAGACAGAATATTGTGATTGCTACGTTGAGCTCTGATTACAAAAACGAACAGTTTCTTGTAGGTGTATGTATATAAAATACAATTTTATGGCCTTTGAATGATTCTTAACATTTTCGAAAAGAGAAACAAAAGATTTCCGCCACGCGGATTTATCATCATTCACAGACAATACTAAGTGTATTTATTGCTGAATTGGTTCCAGGCAAGCTGGTCTAGGTGCAAACAAAGGGGGTAGAGGGGTGTGGGTGGTTTTAAGTCGCAGTGAGTATAATATTGGAGCTCAGCCAGGGACACGATTTAACAGTGCCATTCTCTAACTGTCTGTTTACACAGCGTCCTCAGAACAGTCCCTTAACTTAGCTTGGTTACCGGGGAAACTACAGGCTACTCGTGGCTCTTAGTCTATGCAGCAGCATGCACGGTTATTGTAAAAATTGCCTTTGTTTCCATTTTTGATGAGGGAAATGTGTAAGAACTGAGAATACGGTTTTGCACAGATAAAAGAAACGAATAGCGATTGAACCTACCCCCTCTCTCCCCAACAACTTGTCCTTGTAACAAAATTTTCCGATATGTAGCTATCGCCGAGCCCAAGGGCAACGGTGCAAATCAACATTGGCAGAAACTTTCATCGGTGCATGGAAGCTGCGACGAACACGTTACAAAAAAAAATTCAATTTCCATAAGGGAATCCAAAGAAAAGTAACTCTGTAGCACTTAGTGCTACACTATAAACATCTTTAAAAATATTCTATCACATTTGTCCTTAATTTTTCTACTAGAAGCTCCATCGCCCCAGGGTCATAAACAGCTGGAACAGTATGAAGGCCGTAACCAACAAAACTGTCCAAAAAAAAACTGTCTCAACATCCACTCTCTTTCTCACACACACAGTGACACACTTTCACGCACACATGCAGGCACACACACACTGACACACTGGAACGGGCGCACTCCAGTCCCTATTGAGGCTGTGCTTGCGCCTCCTCCGCCGCGTCCACGGGGCTGCCGGGCGATGACAGGAATTTGCGGACGTACTTGGGGTAGTGCGTCTTCTCGTGGGCCTTGAGGATGGTGGACCGCGAGAACGTCTTCCCGCAGAGCGTGCACCGGAAGGGCCGCTCGCCCGTGTGCACGCGGCAGTGGTCCTTCATGTGGTGGCGCAGCTTGAAAGCCTTGCCGCAGTACTCGCACTTGAAGGGCCGGTCGCCCGTGTGCGCGGGGAGGTGGGTGATGAGGGAGCCCACGTCGGGAAACGACTTGCCGCAGAACTTGCAAAGCACGGCGTTGGGCGCGGAGGCGTCCAGCTCCATGATGGGACCGTCGTGGTAGTGCGACACGCTGGCCAGGTGGTTCTCGATCAGGTTGAGAGGCTCCAGCGACGGCGGCAGCAGCCCCAGCCCGGCGCCCAGGCCGGGCGGACCCTGCATGGCCAGCTGCTCGCGGAACTTTAGCGTCTCCAGACTGTGCGAGAGGATGTGCCGCGTCAGCTTGCTCTGGTGGGGAAACGTGGCGCCGCAGTACGAGCACAGGAAGGGCCGGGGCGGCGACGAAGAGCGGTCCGGGCCCTCCCCACTCCCACCCCCTCGTCCCCCCAGGCCCTGGCTCTCCTGCAACCAAAAACAAAAAGAACATCAACTTCTTTTTCTTTTTACTATTTTACGGTGAATATTATGTTATGGTGATTAATGACTCTTGTCTTATAGGCGTAACGTTTCCTCTCTTTTTGGTGCAGCTACATTTGGTTTGTCACAAAGCAACAAGGAATCTTGCGACCAACAGTGGAGGTCAGACCATATCTCTTTCCAATCATATCTCAAGTGCAAAGAAAAAGTGAGGGGTTTCCAAAATATCGCCCCCTGAGCGAGTAGAGTTCTAAAAAAAAGGCATTAAGAAGTTGACGTTCATTTTGTTTTTGGCAGCAGAGGCGGGGAGGTTTGCTTTGGTTACAGGAAGCTCTCCTACGACCCCGCCCCATTCCCGCGCTCTCAAATCTCTCAATCTTCTGCGTTAATTTAGATTACATAGCTATGAACCATGAATCAAAAGAAAAAAACTAACAAGAGAAAGATAAATGTAAGAGCCAAGAGAGAGAAAGAGAAAGAAAGGATAAAATAATTTAAATAAATATTAAACAATCAACGGCCAAAAAAATGAAGGTCAACTTCTTGAAAAAAAGCAAGACAGATTAATTTTCCAAGAAGAACATGCGTGCAATCACATATACATCCACTCATACGTCCACTGGAATCAACATGCATTTAGTTCTCCAGCGGTCATCACCTCTCGGAAAAATAATTGGATCGCAATTTGAATTTATGTTTATGGATATTGGAATGGCTGCACTTCTGTGTCCGTTCTAGAAGAATCCACTTTTCGCAGGTCAACTACTGGACGACGGCGGGTACTTTATTCTCATTTTTGTATTGATGGTAGGTCTACTTTTCTAGGCGGTCAAAGGGGCATGGGAGGCCTACGCACGGGCGCTACCCCATTTATTTGGCATCATGCCAGTCAGTTCATTCAGTTTGTATCATCATTGACTCTTGTCAAGGAGGCGTGGTCTTATGAAATGGCGTTTTGAGTGGTCTGTGCTCCGAGGCAGCTTAGATTTAGTTTGATCTTTCTACTTATAGAAATGTGGTAAAGCTAGTGGCAATTAAAATGCAAATAGCAAAATCTATGAAAATAATAAATGAGCATTCAAGCGACTAAAAGTAACAATATACTGTATAAAAATTATGGCTCTCTTGTAAATAAGCTCGTAAACTAAGACTCAAAAAATTAATAGAAAATATAAAAATAATAGTTACAATAATAACAGTAACGTATTAATCGTTCATGCAAATGTAAATGTAAACATGCAATATACGATACACAACAGAATTAAGGATGTGTCGTTAGGTAGCCGAGGGTGGGGGAGGACTGAGGGATCACAGTTAAGGAGACACTCAACGTGTTTGTGCGGGGTAGTGTTAACCTCGGCACTATTCAAGCAAGACGTCCGGCAACTATCCCGGCCTGGGATGGCTAATGCATGCTGTTCCGTTCTTATCGAACGTTTAGAACAAGGAAAAACTGTGTGTACAATTAGAAATCGGAGGACTATTTTTATTCAGAAATGCTAATTTGCATGGCACTAGGATCTAGGTCTTGGTTATTTACCTGTAGGTCATCTATGGGTAATAATTAACCATAATGGTCACTTCAACTAATTTTCGGGAAATCTAAAGTATTGACAAGATACATATTTGTGCTGACGCTACTTCTACGCCTCGCTTTCTATCACATTATTCGCTACGGGTGCTGCCCGCCCTTGACCCCGCCCGCCTTGCCAAGTAGCCGCCACAAACCCGGTCACGTCAAAGGGAAACTCGGTAGATTGAAGCAAAATCAAAGAATGAACCTACGGAAGGGTGTTTCTGTGTGTGCTTCGTGAAAAAAAGTTGGTCCTTTCTTTAGACAGGGTCTTTCCGACGGCTGCCGTATGTAGGCTGCGTTGTAATCGAAATGTAGAAAAGAACTTACCGAGTCCGGTGGGTGCCGACTGTAGTCTGAAGGGCTCTCGCTGGTCCTGCTTTTGTCGTCGCGGTCCCCTCTGTCCCACTCCACTTCCTTCTTCAGCGACTGCAAACGAGAAAAACGGTCAACTCTGCAAAACCGACACGACACTCAGTATTCGAACCTGCCACTCCACTCACCAGAGGCACTTGCTGCACAGGCGGCAGGCCGGACGGTCCTGGAAGGGGGCTCCCAGTGAGGGCGAGGGGCGTGCCCAGGGGCGTACCCAGGGGCGTACCCAGAGGCGTGCCGAGGGGCGTTCCCAGAGGGGAGGTGAGCCGGCTGCTGGCGGACGAGCAGGGCGGCTGGACTAGTGAGATGGGTGAGGAGGGCAGCCCGCAGACGCCTGGCGGGCAGCCTGAGCAGCCCGCCAGCTGGATGCCGTTGTTGTTGTTATTATTGTTGCCGCTGCTGTTGCTCGGGTTGCTCAGATTGGTCGCCATGGTCATGTCGTTGGGCTCCCCGCTGCAGGTGCTGAGCGGCGAGCTGGGCATCATGTCCGCCTCGTCGGCCGAGCAGTCGGCGTCGCCCTGCCCGCCAGGGTCGGGGTCCTCGCCGTCCGGACTCGAGTCGACGCGGTGGCTGATGCGGTGGTGCGCCAAAGACATGCGCTTGCTGGGCGGCCCCGAGAGGCCCGACGACGGCGAGAGGCTCCGGCTGTGCGACGGCGGCCGCGGTGGCGGCGGCAGGCTGGGGGCGGACAGCGGCGGCGAGTCCGGACTGCTGTTGAGCAGCCGCGAGTGGTGGTGGGTGAGGGGCAGCGGTAGCTGCATGGGGTGCCCCAGCAGCGGCATGCCGTGGTGCAGCCCCAGCCCCAGCAGCTCGCCGGGCTCCAAGAGGCTGACGCCGTTGGCCGAGCGAAGCGGCCCCGGCGATGAGGTGGACGGGCTGTGCCTGTGCCTTTGTACTAAACTCTGTGGATGCCGCTGCGTCGTCTCTTCTTCCTTCTTCACCTCGAGCCGCGTCTCGTTCAACTCCCTGTCTTGCTGTTCACTCCGATCCCGTCTCCGGTCCTTGTCACCATGATCCCGATCCCGCTCCCGTTCCCGGTCCCGCTCCTGCTCCCTGTTTTGGTCTCTGTCTTTATCCTCCCGGCTCCTCTGTTCCCTGTCCTGCTCCTTCTCCTTGTCACGATCCCGGTCGCGATCCCTGTCTCTGTCCCGCTCCCGCGACTCACGGTCCCGGTCGTCACCGTCCTTGTCCGCGCCCAGGTTGGTCATCTCGGCCAGACCCTTCACTTTGAGGCTCTCGGCCGTCTTGAGCAGCGCGGACAGACGGCAGTACTCTACATTCACCTCCCCCTTGTACATGAACTCGACCAGTGTCCGCAACTCTCGGAAGCACACGTCCTTGAGGATGACGATGGGGTGGCGCGCGGGGTGCGCGACGAAGAGCGTCTGGAAGTAGGACGAGCAGGCGGACAGCACCACCTTGTGGGCGCGGATCGAGTGGCCCTCCTCAGCGCAGGCGAGCGTCACGTCCACAAGCGAGCCGTCTTCCAGGAGTTGACTGAACACGCCCAGCAGGTTGCTCTGATGATTGTTCCACCTGAGGCAGTAGTGCTCCCCACTGCCCATGTCTGGTCTTCTCACCCTGCAACAGGACAAACAGAATCATCAGCACTAGCAAGTTGCGTCAGAGTCGAAGGGTCCCAGGGTCAGCAGCGCGGCCAGCTTGCTCAAAATTGCAAGATAAAAAGAAAAAGAAGGAAAATACAATGAACGTGGCCAGCAAACTGCCGAACTCGGAAACCTTTGACTCAATGCGAGCGGGGTGGCCTTTTTCCGGTTGAAATGCCTCGGATCGTCCAATCCATTCCATCGACCCGCGTCGTGGCATCGCAGACCAAGTCGCGGAGTTGATTGGCTTATTGAGCGGCAAATAACTAGCGTTGCGTGCTTTCACACTTTTTGCTTCCCGAGGATTAAGAATCGAGCGGCGTCGCGCTACGAGGCGCTGCCGTCTGCACCGCTGCTAGTGCGTCGGTCAATTATTCACGGCGACCCCGTTGCCGTCGTGCCGAGCTCGTCAATAAGTGCATCAGCATCGACTGGGTCCGGGAGTCACTTTGTCGAACTTGGGATCGGCTACGGGGTGCGCCGAGAAGCCCCCGTGTCTCCTGGCCAAGGCCGCCTGCCCGCCGGCCGGGCCGCAGGGCGCCTGGCGGGGTAGGCCACCCGGACGCAGCCGCGTCGCCGGGACAGCCTACCGCGGAGGATGCACGGCTGGAGCCGGCGGGGCGCGACTAGCTAGGCGCGACTAGGCGACGCGCGGAGGAAGTTTCCGACGCCACCGCTCTGCAGACTGATTGTGTCTCTCTCGTACTCGGCGGCTCTCTGTATGTGTGCGAGAGAGACCGGAATCGGTCTACTGTCAGTCATTCCCAACAGCGGTTCGCCGCTCTCTCGGACCTTTCAAACGCTCCACAAACGAGAGAGACAGAGCGACGTCCGCGGACACCACAGCCTGTCAAGGCACTGGAAGCACAAGGGCGCACCGGGCGCACCAGGGCCAGCGCGCGTGTCGCTGCGTGTCGCGGAGCTTCATCAGTGCGTTATCCGTCCACGAGTCGCCGGCCGAGCCGCCGCACCAATTTGGCCGTGGTGCGCGGGGCGGTGCGGGGCGGCGCGGGGCTGCGCGTGCCGAGCTGCAGCGTTTACACGCACGCACCGCCTCGGCCACCTTGGCGTCTAGGGCTCGCGGACAAAGATACGCGGCGGGAGGGAAAAGGGATTTCCTCGGCGGTTCGCGACTTGCAGCGCAGCGCCGCGAGGGGCGGTGGGGGGCAGTGGGGGCGGAGAGGGGGCGGCGCGCCCGTGGGCACTACTGTACAGCCCGGCACGCACGCGCGCACGCAGGCGGCGGGAAAACTGCGTCCAATCCGGTGACCTGCAGCACACTCGAAAAAATAAAAAGAATCGCCTGATGAAATACCAATAAATAACGAAACGCGGCTCTGTTTTGATGATCGATAAGCGAACGCCGCGACACGGCACGGCAGGGCACGCCACGGCCCGCGCAGCACACGCAAATTAACTCTTTGCACGAATGCGCCGCGCGGGCACGCACGCACGCACGCACGCACGCACGCACGCACGCCCACCCGCACGCACGCTACACGTTCGCAAACGACCGCACGCAACCTCTCGCTTCGTACACACACAGACACACGCGCACACATACAGACACACACGCGCGCACGCGTAGACCGTACAGAACAACACACGCAGCAGACTGGCACGCACGCACCCACACACTCACAGGCACTCGCGAGAGCGCACACACAGTCGCACACACGCACGACTTCATGTCTTCCGCTCGGCAAACAGTCGTGCCGTGCCTGGCCGTGCCGCGTCGTTACGTTTCGGCGAACTCCGCTCCGCGCTCCGCCAACGCGACGTCGCCGTCGGCTCGCCGTCACACCGAGCAAAGACACACACGTGCCCGAATGCGTGCGACCGCCGCGTCCTTGCACTCGCCTCGCGACAGCGCGCCGTCCGCCCGCCCGCCCATCCCTCGCGCACGCACTGTCTCATTTACTGCTCGCTCTGGCAGGGCCGCGCAGGGCCGCTGGGCCCTCTCTCAGGCCTGTGCCGCGCGGGCGGCGGGCGGGGCACGCAGGGCGCGCCAGATAGACACGCAGACAGACAACCAGGCCGTTTGCTGTTGCTGTGCGAATGCCGGCGGGCCGCGGGGCTCGGCGCGGGGAGCGCGGGGCCAGGCCTAACTCACTGCGCGCGGCGCGGCCCGCTGGCTCCCGAATCAGACGCATCCCGACTAGACTCCTTCGATCGTCGCATCGTCGTATCGTCCGCGAACACTTCCTGCAATGCGCCTTCGGGCCTTCGGGCTTTCGGGCTTTCGGGAAGGCCCTTGAGCGGCCTGCCGGGCGGGGGCGTGTCCCGGCCCCATGCCCTTCTCTTCTCCCCTTCCTACCCGCCGAAAGTACAGTACCGAACAAGCAGGCCCCTCACGTAGCTTCCCGGGCGGCCGGCACTGTACAGGCGCGCACACTCACACACTCGCTGTCCCTCCCTCCTCGCACCGGGCTTATCACACTGCCCTCTAATTCTTGCTGTTTGGCCTCCGTCACCTGGAGCAGGCCGCACTCACACACACACACACTTGTCACTGTCACTTGCATCACTTTGGAACGTCACTTGGCACAGTCACTTGGAAGCACTCGGCGACACTTTTTGCACTGACACTTGTCGCGGTGTGGCGCGTCGCTGAGTTGACCCAGTGCTTCGTCCATCAGCTGATTCGTTTAAGTGTGCTCGCGGACTTCCCTGCCGCGCTGCCGCCTCGCTGACGAGCCGAGCAGCGGCCGGCCGAGTCCAGCCGGGCCGAGCACGGCGCTTTGACAAGTGCGGCGCCGAGCCGATGGCAGGGACCGCGGGGGCCGCGGGGGGCCGGCACGTGCAAGCGACGCATCGCACACACACTGGCGAGGCACGGCACTTGGCGACACAGACACGTGGCGCGCACACCCACACACGTGCACTCAGTGACCTTGACCATGCCGCTATCACACACTGCCGGACGCAAGGCCGGCCGTCGTACGAGCGCCAGCACGGCCGGCTCGGCCGGTACGGCTCGGCCGGTACGACGGGGAAGTGCGCGCCGCCCCCGCGAGATGTCGAGGGTGGTCAGGGTGCGGGGCGGGCGGCGAGGCGCGGTGCGGCGAGAGGGCGGGGCGGGCCGCCACGGCGAGGGCGAGGCGCGGCGCGACGTACGCAATCCAAGACTCATTTACCTTCCTTCATGAAATAGAATAGAGGCTCTCCCTCAGCGACAGCACACAGCACAGGGCGTCCGGCCCCCAGTGACGTTGCCGGCCGACTGAGCCTTGCCGCCTTGCCGCCTTGCCGCCCCGGCACAGCCGTGGGCACCAGCACGGCGGAGCGCGGAGCGAGCGCAGCGTGTGGCCCAGGCAGCCAGGCCCAGGCGCGGCCCTCGGCTCGGCTCGGCTCGCCTCGGCTCGACTCGATTCGGCCCGCGCGGCGCGGCACGGCGCGGCGCGGCTCCGCTCACCAGTAAAGCAGTCAGTTGATAGTCGCGGACCCCGAGTCAAGATGACGCCCGTGCGGTCGCCGCGAGGGTGCGTGGACTTGTGAGGACGTCTTGTAAAATCACCTCCCCATTTTAGATGAACGCAGAAAATCGTTACGCGCCGTCAAACCGGATTTTAGACGCGACAACCGCCGCAGTCGCTCGCTCGACTCGCGCGGTGGCCGTCGCGGCCGTGGTGGGGGGAGCGGCGGGTGGCGGTGGGGACGCCGGGAGCGAATCGTGAGCCGTGGTGGGGGAGGCGCGGTGGCCGTAGAGGCGCGGTGCCGGCGGTGCCGCGCGGTGCGTCCGGGCGGGTGGAGGGGGCGGGGGCGAGATGCAGGATGAGGCCTAGGATGCAGCAGGACAACACGCGACGCGGAGGCCGCCCGCCGCCCGCTTTCGCACGCAACGCGGCAACGCGAAGCAACGCGATGCACAGAGGATGCCGAACGAATTGCCGAGCAGCGGAGCACGCTTTTCGGCGGGAGGCACCCCCACGCCACGCCGTGCCACGGCCACGGCGCGCCACGCCGGCGGCGCGCTCACGTCGCGTCGTCTGCTTCAGGCCGCGGCGGCGCTCCCCTCCAGCCACCTCCTGCGTCTCGTCGCGGCGGGCGGCTAAGTCCTGGCGGCGCGGACTTGACGTCCTGCGACGGTGGCGACAACTCCAACGGAGACTAATTGGCGTTCCCGTGGAAGTCGATGCCAACTTTAGAGGGGGCCCGATGCATTCATCCCGACAAACCAGCCAGCCAGCGGCTCGGCGCGCGCGGACAGCAGGGCGCCTTCACAAAGTCCTGCACAAAAGTTGGGGCGAGGCGGGCGGGCTGGCGGGCTCTATTTTTGTCTGCTGCGCCGGGTATCAACTTGACGCTTCAATCGATTTGTGCTCCGGGTTGACAAGGAGGGAGGGGGCCGGAGTGTGAGGCGGGCCCCTTCCACGCACCCCGCCGCGGCGCCACGGCCTCCACGCAGGCCTCCACGCAGGCCAGCACGCAGGCCACCTCGCCACGCAGCGCCACGCAGCGCGCGGCCAGACCGAGTGGAGTGGGGCGCTGGCCTGGCCGCCCTGGGCGCCCTGGGCCCCAGCAAGGGCCTCGCGAAACAATAAAGCCACGAAGGGCGTGCGGGGCAGGAAGGGCGCTCATCAATATGCGTGGGAGACGCGACGCATTTCGGCTGGGAATTGCAAATTGAAAAGCGGAGCCGGCGGTGCAGTTGCAGGTGCACTGCGGGCCGCCTTCGAACAGTGTGCTCTCTCTCGCGCTCGAGCGGCGTCCCGTGAGGGTGCGAGGGAGACACCGAGACGAAAGCGCTGATCTGCTCCGGTGGGACGCACCGGCCGAGGGGCATAGCCCGGCTCATCTGCATTTTGTGAGAACGCACCCCGGCGCAGTCTAGAGCCGCCTGTCGTGATTGGAGGAGGCCAAGGAAACGGAAGAGAGCGCGGGAATGTCATTCCCTCGACTTACTGGAGTTACAGGGCGCCCCGCTAACGCATTCAATTGTCCGAGGCTCCGACGCTCTGTCTCTCTCGCACCGCTGCGGGCCGGCCCGCGAGTGCGAGAGAGACAGAGCGACTGCGGCGGCCCGAGGCGTGCCGGAGGACGTGGGGAGCGGCACGACGACGCACGACACGCAGGCAATCCAGCGGCGTCGCCGTCGGTCCAAATAATAAGAAAGGATGACTGCGCCCCGCCGTCCGTGTCTGTCTGTCTGTCCGTCCGCTCGTCGTGCGTTATTGTCCGACCTAACCGTCGATGCGGCGCTGCGGCGGCCGGGGGGCGGATAAGGAGGCGACCGGCCGACGCGTTTGGCGCCAATTCCGATTTCTCACCTGCGAGGCAAGGCGCGAGGCGAGGTGCCGGCCGCCGCCCCGCCGGTCACGATCTCGGAATTTCGCAATTCATGCGTGCGCTGTGCGCGCTGTGCGCGCTGTGCGCCCGCCCGGACGGCCCGGACGGCCCGGGATGAAGGCATCCGAGGCGTGCCACGGCATATTCCTCCCTCACGACTCCGGTAATAAAATAAGAGCATTATTGGAGGCGAGGAACAGGAATGCACACGCACCGCCGGCCTGCCCGCCTTCCCGGCCCCGCAGCTCAAGAGCATCATTAGTGCCCGCGGGGCGCGCGGGGCCATTGTTGCGCCATTGGTGTGCCCGTCCGGGACGGTCCGGGACGTCCAGCACTCGTCCAGGACGGCGACGAGGCGGGGGTGGCCGCGGCGCGCCCTGCCTGGCCCTGCCTGGCCCTGCCTGGCCCTGCCAGCAGAGCCGCCGCGCACGACGTAGTTTTCAAACTCGCACCCGCGAATCTAATTGGAGCGGGCCGAGCTACTCTGCGCTTTGGATCAAAAAAGTTGTGTCCCATTTCACGGCCTGCCAATCAAGGGCGCCAACCTCATCATCGACGCGCCCAGCAGCCCCGCCGCGCGCCTCGACTAACGAGACTAAAGCACTGGGCTGGCTGCGCTGGCTGCGCTGGCTCCCCGTTTGCACCTTTGAATTTATCTCATTACCACCTGACGTAATCTGCGGCACACACCTTTTAATTAGAGCATATTGGAGGAGGGCAAATACGAGGCGGTGCGAACGGGGTGAGGGCGACAAGTAGCGGATCCTACTTCCCGGGGCACTCATTTCTATCTCTCTCACACACATACTAAACTCACCACGCGGAAAAAAAAGGAGTTACGACCAGCAGGATCGAGGAGGCACGCGGAGTGTGGCGAGAGGCGGCGGCGCGCGGGGGCGACCTGAACACTCGTTCCTGGAAGAGCGCGGGAATATAAGAAACGGATGAATAAGAAAGGAAATAATAACGACCGGAGGAAAGCGAGAAAAAAGTGCAGCGGCTGAGTGTGCACTAATTATCAGCGTAGCGGTAGCAGTGGCGGCGGTGGCAGTGTTGGCAGTGGCCCGCGGTTTGCACCCCGGGCAATTAGGGCCCCAGCAGCCTGATTCCGAGAGTCGTTTTCGTCGTTCTGTCTCTCTCGCACCTGCAAGGGCCCCCCTTTAAGGGCGAGAGAGACAGGGCGACGAAAACGACTCTTGGAATCAGTGTAGAGGGGCTGCAGCCGGGGCGCGCGGATCGCGGATTTACAGGTGGGTCGGCAGCACGGCCGGCACGCGCGGCGCCACCGAGGCACGGCATACCGGAGTGGAGTCCGGTGGCCTGGTCGGCAGCCTGGTCGGCACCCTGGTCGGCAGCCTGGCCGGGGACAAGCGGGGCCGCGTCAAACATTCAGGGCCCGACACCGCAGCCCCGTCATCATGCACGCCCCGCCCCGCCCCGCCCCGCCCCGCCATTGGCCCAGGCACCAAACCGCAGTCTAGAAGCGCCGCTGATCGCGCCCTCACCCCGCCCCGCCCCGCCCCACCGCGGCCACGCTGAAGCCACGCAAGTCCGCGGCAGGTTCCCAGCGCTGCGCCGGTCTTGCGGTTCGGTGCCTTCGGTCCCTGCAGTCCCTTGCCGGTGACGGCGGACTGCGCTGCATAATATGCGCTTTGGCCGTCGCGCGCCAAACGCGAGAACGCGAGGCGAGGATCGATGGGTCATGCGGCTCGGCCTGCCTGCCTGGCAGCCTGCTTCGCCAGCCCCGCCGTGCCTCGCCCCGTGGGCTTTGCCTGGCTTTGCCGGCGTTGCGTGACGGCGAGGCGATACGACGGCTGCACCGCAAGGCAGTGCGAGTCACAGGCCTCGGCCGGCCTCGGCCCGCGGATGCATGCGCGTGGACGGACAGACGGACGGAGGGGCGCACGAACCAAACGCGAAGCGGCGAGGGGGTTCCCCCGGGTTCCCGTCCAGGCCGCGCAGTGCCGCCGTGCGTTGGGGGCCCCGATCTGACAGCCTGGCGGCCTAGCAGACTTTTGGCAGTCTTTTGGCAGGACCTTGGCGGCGCCTCGGCGCGCGTGATTTGACGTAGTGGCGCGCCATGGCGGGGCACGGCGGCACGACCAGGCACGACACGGTGGCAACACGCTCTGCACGCTTTGCTGCATGGCCCCGGCCGAGGCCCCGGCACGGCGCGGCGTTGTTCTCGAAATGCTCCAGTGCTCGGCCCCAACTGACACGCCCTCAGCGAGCACGAGCCGCAATGAGCCGTGGCGGGTACACTGGGTACACTCCCACGATGACCCCCGCAGCCCCGCCTCTCTCGCACTCACGGGCCGTCCCGCCGGGGTGCAAGAGGGACGCTCGGAATCAGCCTGCAGCAGGCAGTGCCCCCCGCGAGG